TTTTCCTCAGGCATCCTGAAGTTCTCCACCCACTGAGTGTGTGAAAGATGGAACAATCACATTCCACCACTCGGTAGCTCGGTCGGTAACTTCTGAAATACACAAACAAAAGCATACATATTTTAATACGTAAAAGTGGTAGCTACAATTAATTAAATACTTGAAATACTTTGGTCCTATAGGGAGCGTGAGCCTAAACACATTGCTAGTTAGCGAACGTTAGCTTACCAAGTAGCGTTGTAGTTAGTAGTGATTCGAGTCGTCCTGTAGTCTCTGCGGCGTAGGAGGACTGCCCGAACTCTCGCGTCAGCTTCTTCTATACCTCGTCTTGCTATACGTCGCCTCTTTCGAAACAACTCTTGTCTATTTCTTGTGATAATAAACCACACAGCAAAAAACAAGCAAACGATCGCTTTCACATCTTCACATCCTCCATTGTTGTGTCGCATTGAAGATGACGTCACGGCAGTTTTAAGCAGCGTCGCTCCGCCTACACTGCGTTACTATAGATACTACCCCAGTTCCTAAACTGTAATGGAAACGCGCCATAAAGTGAGCTGGTCCTAACGAGGCCAATCGCGGCCCAGCCATACCGAGCGGGGCCGAGCGAGGCCGTGTAGTGGAAACGCGCCATTAAGGGCTTGGTGTGAGACTTCTCCACACAGGTTGCTGACGCCAAAAGGGGGACCCGAGAAACACAAGGCCAACACAGCAGATTACGTCTGGTTGAAGGGGACCTCCCATGCCGTCCGCCTAGATGGAAAGGGAGACAACTGGTACCACTGGAGCCAGTGTGCGGTCGGGAAAAACACCTGCGAGGACCCTAGACGACATCAGGACAGATTTGGCCCTCGTCGCGAGGACCCTAGATGACATCAGGACAGATCTGGCTCTCGTCAAGGCAGTCGACCCAGGAGGCGCCATCAGCAGACCAGAGGAGGAGGATCGGGAGGACATCTCTCCAGCAGTCGACCCGGAAGCCGCCATCAGCGGGCCGGAGGAGGAGGATCGGGACATCTCTCCAGCATCGACCCGGAGGCCGCCATCAGCGGGCCGGGGGAGGACAATCAGGCCACATCTCTCTAGCAAGCACCCCAGAAGCCGCCGTCAGCGGGCTGGGGGGACGAAGACACGGCAAACCAAGACGGCACAGAGAACTCCATTTCCCGCTGAAACAGGTTGATATAGCCGGTGTGGAACTTTGTCTGAACAATCCATTTTTTGGAGGAACTTTCAACTTTATTTTTATATCCCATAATTTAAGGGATTTGTATTTTTTATTCTACAGAACTATGTGTTACCAAAAGAGGGAAAAGTTTAATAATGTCTTTTCTAATTTCTGTGGCTACTTTTATTGCCATTTTAGTGACATGTGGTTGTTGTTGTGTGCTCATTGTGTGTTAGACTCATCAGTTCCACCATTGAGGGAAAAGCTGCCCTTTCCCCTTCGTACCAGATGCCCTTGTTGGCCTATGCGTCGGAGGGGGAAGGATAAGATGACTCAGCTGACAGGGACTTTGCTTTTTAGACATATTTTATTCTCCCTCCACTGTCATAAGAAGTTGTTGTTGTGGACTGTTCCTAAAGGTTTAAAGTGCTCTATATCCCAACTTCTGATGGGTTTATATAAATGTTGGGACAGACACAGTAAGAAAAAGATTGACAGTGGTAATGTTTCAAATGCTATACGTTGATCTCGTGAGGTGAGATCAAAAGAGGGATTGAAGTAAAAAGATATGATTCTACACTGTATTGAAGTAAACATGTATTATTTTGAATTGTATTTTAGTGAACATGTATTGTTTGAACTGTTTTAAGTAATCACAATTGTTTTAAGTAATCACAACGGTTTTGGGTAATCATATATATAGAAAGGATATTCTCTCTTACAACTCACTGACCCAGAGATTCTGTGTCATACACACACCTTGCCTGTTTCACCCCTAAAAGCAGATGTCGTCATTAAGGTCGTTAAAGACAACATTACACCGCTCCTTATCACCCCTAAGAACAGATGTTGTTTTTTAAGGTCATTAAAGACATCGTTAAATAGGTGCAGAAAAGTTTAAATGTCTGAAAAGGGATACTTTATGTGAAAAACTCCCATGGGAAGGGGATGGAGTTAAGATCGAGGCAGAGATAGAGATTGACTTTTGACCTTATGGAACTTTGGAATTTCAAGTTCTGGTGAAGAACTATTGAACCCGACCAGAAGTGAATCCAGCCAGTCAGGACACTTGGGGGAGGTGATCAGCTTACACAGCTCCTCCTCACGGACTCTCTGATTCGCTTGGGAGGAAAATGGGAAGGAAGAGTCGACACATCTCCGCCCCAAAAATAGATATGAATACTGATGTTTTTGTATGTCAAAATGCTTCTGGTTTGCTGAGTGGCTGGTCCTGACATCTGTGTCCGCATCGCATCACAAACCTGAAGTCCGGAGTACTCTGTATAACTTGTATGTGAGTGGCTGGTCCTGACATCTGTGTCCGCATCGCATCACAGACCTGAAGTCCGGAGTACTCTGTATAACTTGTATATGTGTTTGGTTTCCTACCAGAAGTAAACTCAGATAATTTGTTATAACTTTGATTCCGGTGTTTTCAATTCCTTTCTTAATTTAATAGAGATCCAGCCTCATCCAACGAACGGCGCGTAGCAGAGGTGTTCTGCTCCAACAAAATCCATCCTTGTTAACTTGTTCCAGGTTACAGCAGTGTTTGCTGCCACTTTCACAGATTGTATAACCATAAAGCTTTCTTTTGGAGGGGGGCCACAAGGGGGTGTTGAAGGGGCGCTGGTCCCTCTCGGCTCCCCCCTAGAACCGCCCATGCACCCTCTTGTAAGCGATGTTGTCTGTATATAATATTATACATATGATGTTTATTATTTCTTGAAAATATTTGAAAGAAAATGACTGTGGTAAGAGCGCGTCCCGGGGGCGTTCCTTCTCTACGTCAGGAACCGCCGCGGGCACGCAGCGCGCTTCCTCGTGTGTGTTTGTGGCGAAGTCCCTCCCCTTCCTGTGGACCTCCATGGGACCTTATTTCGGAAAAATTATGTTTTGAAGTCAATGGAGAGAGAAAGATTATCTTTCGATCCCGTTTGAATTGTGCCACGAATTACACATATGATGTTTGTCAATTTAAAAGATAATTTTGCAAGTCAAAAAAAAAAAATGTGTCGTAAAACTGTGAAGTAACACATTTGTTTGTGTGAAACGCTCAATGAACTACATCTCTGGTCAACAACACACGTCACCAAGATGGCCGTCACTACTGTCTTGTCAACAAAACGATTGACTACCCTCACTATCACAACAATGAAACACGTCCTGAAGAAAGTCATGCAAAGCTGCCTGCCTGCCTTCCTTTGATTCTCTCTGAACTGCCTGGTCTTTTTAATGTTTAATGTAAACCATTTGTGCAGATAGCATGAAGTAGAGAAGATCGCTAGCGTTAGCGTTAGCATTTCTCCCTCGGACTTAAATTGTGTATTATAGAATGACAGTACTCTTCAAAGGGTTCACAAAATATGACTACTACTCTTACTGTTTAACATTTTGGGTTACTTAATGTTACTTCATGTTAAGGCTAATACAAATGACAAGGCTGTAATGCTAACTAACGTGCTAGCTACTAGCTAGCTTGATCCAGACACTCCTAGTCCTTTCATCAGACGGGAAGCGAAATAACGAGCAAGACCCATTGCTGGTATGAACAACCTGGTACTAAGCACACAGGCATCTTGTTAAAGTTATCTGATCTTAGCTATCTCTTAGTGGAGGAAAACAATTGTGACATCACTTACGCGACTCTGGGATTTGTAGTCTTTCTAGTTGCGTATTTTTCATAGTCTTATATTTCAACAGTTTTACGACAAACTGTGACTTTTTTGACATGGAAATGATTTTTTAAGATTGACAAACATCATAGGGGTAAGTTGAGCCAGTGGGTAAGTTGAACCACCCCCTGTAACCAGGCAACGCTTTATAGTTGTAATCACGTGACCAGAAATTATGCAAGCTTCTCCCATTTATCATTGCCTGTGAAAGAGAGATGCTCATTGTGGTCTGGTAAGTAAACATTTTTACAAAAAAACTTTTTTTGCTTGTCAAAGTACATTTTCTAGATGTCAGCTATATCGGCTGTCATGTCAAAAAAAATGTATCCAGGTTTAAACAAATATATTGTATATGTTGATGTGTTGGCAGCGTATTAAACCATGTGAGTCATTAAGCTAAAGATGACTCTGAATTTTAATGCTAGACTATTTTTTCTAAAATGGTGGCTATGGGGTAAAGTGAACCATGGGCCTTGGGGTAAGTTGAGCCAGTTTTTCAATGGAGAAATTAATGAAAGTAGGCCAAGTTGATAATAAGAGCTCATTGTAGGCTACATTTAAAGTTGAATTTACCCTGTGTTTGATTGGTAAGATGTATGAAATTGTATCACCATTTGTATGATTACTTTTCCTTTTATTAACATGTTAAAAAAAATCAATCAATTCAATCGAAATTTATATTAAAAATATTTGAAAAACTAAACTTGTATTTGGTTTGTTATTTATTGTTTAAAGTTACCTTTAAGATTTTTTGTAGGTATGCCCAGGTTTGAACAGGTATGCCCAAGTTTGAACAGTGGTTCAATTTACCCCCTGACCTGGATCAACTTACCCCTTACCCGGGGCAAGTTGAGCCACAAGACTTTTTTTTTTGTAGAAGTAATATTTTCACTGTCCTTTATCAAATATTAATTCTTATCATTGCCATTGATAGGAGACATCCTGAATTATAGGTGTGTGCTTTCATTTTTACTATGTGTCATTTCTCCTTGCTTAGAGGACAGCATAACTAAAAAATGGCTCAATTTACCCCACTCTCCCCTATGTGTAATTCATGGCACAATTCAAACGGGATCGAAAGATAAGTTTTCTCTCTCCATTGACTTAATTATTTTTCCGAAATAAGGTCCCATGGGGCGGAAGTAGATGGGCGTGACTTCGCCACTCTATACAGTCTATGCTCAACCGACTCTAAACTGCTGGTTTGTGTCTTGTGTGCCACAAAGAAGCACCATGCTCCGCACCGTGATTTCTCGAGCCCTTCCTAGACTGAGTCAGCCCGCGGTGTGTCACTTCTCTGCGGCCGCTATCCCTGCACCCAACACCCAGCCTGAGGTCCACTACAACAAGGTAACAACGGTAGCCTCCTTACTGTCAGTACTTCGACTCAGCTGGACTTTGGTCAGCTGCAAAACCAACAAGTGCTTGTTAATGCAGAACTGTAGCAGTGGGGAGTTATTGGTCACTGCAGTTTTTGTGCTCATTTGTGATTTTATGTCGGGAAACGTGCAACGAGCTGAGGTCCAGGATCCAGACTCACTAACTCTGATAAACTTCCTGCTTTGACCAATGGGCTGCCAAACTAGTTCAACAAGTTGACAAGTTCAAATGTAGGCCAACTGCACAACCCCACTGTGAGATAAGTTTCACATGGGGAGGTTATATAAGGATTAACAGTAAGACCTCGTGATATGAAAACGTGTGCACTGTCCACTCCTGTTTGCAGACTTTGCTCTTCTGACCCCTGCCTGTAGATTTCTGGCCATGCAAGTTGACTTCTCTATGTAATCTAAATTATTTTCTTCCCTATCACACACATTCTTCATTTCATACGGGTTAGGGTTGATCTGCTGGCCACAGAGCAGCCCCTGGACCAGCTGGAGGGTCAGATCCAAAATCCCTGCAGATTTGCAAATATACACAGATATCTGTCTGCTGAGACTGTTAGTTGTTGCATTGTTTCCAGCAGGTGTGTGGATAAAAACAACCCTGTTACTGGAAAAAGATAAGGGCTGGGCGTCATTGCCAAGTATTTCCTTTGTCCCGTATGAGATATGGAGACATTATTTTTAGTTTTGATAATGCCTTTTTGTCATATTCCCCCACCCCTGAAATAAGGTCATATGAGGTCATGTGAGCCATGTGCATATTTTGTCAGATTGGGTGTAGTTGACCGTTGGTATACCAACCTGTCGGTATGTAGTGGCAGTTTCTGGCATTATTATTTGGTTACACCCAGAGCCAGTCTAATCTCTATAATAATCCAAACAAAAAAGATTCCTCATACCTCAGCCCATATAAAATGTTTGAGGAGTGGCATACATGACAGATTGGTGGTTCCAAGAAAATTGCATTCACTTTATTGCTCCACCTGTAGAGACTGTGACATGAAACAGACTAAAGTGGTTGAAACCAGATCTGTCATTTTTTTTATTTCAGTTTTACAATGACTTTGGTTAGAGCTCTGCCTATTAAAATCATCAATTTTAATGTTTCAGCTGTTCATCAACAACCAGTGGCACGATGCAGTGAGTGGGAAGACCTTCCCCACCATCAACCCAGCGACTGGGGAAGTCATCTGTCAGGTGGCAGAGGCTGATGCGGTAAGAGACATACAGACTGTGTGAAAACATTAATTTCTGTCCCAGTGAAGGGGGAGCTTTGACTGGAACGAGAAAATAACATTTAAAGGTCCCATGTCATGCTTTTCCGGTTATAACCCGTCCCCTTGTGTGTTATGTAGCTTTTTCTGCATGTAAACGGTCTGCAGAGTCACAAACCCTCAAAGTACACCCTGTAGAGAGTAAAACTCTAACACAGAAAAGACCTGTCTATGCTGCCCCAGAACGCCTCATTGTAGATTTGTCTTGTTCCATTGTTTTCTTCTTATGGCGCGTCTCCACTACAGCGCGGAGCACGGTTTAAGAGGGCTGTGACGTCAGCGGCCAGTTTTTGGTTGCGTTTCCACTTGGCCTAGTACCGGCCGGCGGGTCCTAATTCACAGTTTTTCTGGCCTCATAAAATCATGGTTCTAAGGCCAGAGACAACGAGGCTGAGTCGGGCTGAGTATGCTAAACTAGAGAGAGAATCGCTGGCAAGGGGGCTACAACTACAACAAGATGGACATATTTGACCGTGATTTAATTGTAATACACGTTTCAAAATGATGCCGAAGTAACAACATACTGATACCGGTTAGTAAAAACCATGAATTAATGCTTTGACAAGTCTGCAGACAGACGGCAGGCGAAAAATCTTTTAAAATGCGTGTTTTCTAAATGGAGATTGGCTAAGCTAACGCAGTATATGCTCCGACCGTCCACACTCACAACAACGGCCTATACAGACATAAATAAACCAGCGACTGTATTCACCATGACACAGGCAGTCTGTGGTTTGTACTTGTTTAACTTTTGTCTAGTTTCTGAACATATATGAGGAGCTGTGAGCTCTGAGTGCTAACGGCTAACGGCTGTGTTGTTTTTCTGGGGTTCTCATTGAAGATGACGTCACGGCTCCGCCTACACTGCGTTACTATAGATACTACCCTTTATATATACCCCAGTTCCTAAACTGTAATGGAAATGCGCCATAAAGTGAGCCAGTCCTAACGAGGCCTAGCCATACCGAGCGAGGCAGAGCGAGGCCGTGTAGTGGAAATGCGCCATTATAGTGTAGTCCGTACAGTGACGTATTGGGTATAGTGTCGTAACGTCTCTGCGGATTGGTCCAAATGGACCAATCCGGGGACTTCCTCACTCACACACACACACTCAATCTTTTCTCAGCTGCAGCTCCACGGATTTCTCAGCCTGAACTCAGCCTGAGACGGCGAGACGCGGCGGGGCTTGGCCTGGGCTCGTTCTGAGAACACACGCAGACTCACAGCCAGGCTGCAGGTGTGTGCGTGTGCTCGGGCTGGGTTCAGGCTGGGTTTCGCTGTGTCTCGCTGTCTCGCAGATCCCCCGCAGCAAGCCAGCTCTCACTGTCCACTCCAGCAGCGAGCCCCGCAACGTCCCGCCAATACGGCACCCAGACCCCACGCAGCATTCTCATCTGTTTGTCATTGCTGGTGTCATTTTCTGGTTGCTAACGCCATTGTAACACATAGTCACTGATGTTCCGCTGTAACGGTGGTGGACTCATCAGAACAGAGTGGGAGCTACCATCAGAGCACAGTGGGCTCACAGGGAGGGGGGGCAGGAGCTCCAACAAGCCTTTTAGGACAGAGTGAATACACATACTATACAGAGATGCTGTATGAGAAACCAATGTGATTTTGGAAAATTGCACAATATAAATCTATTTTAGTAGACTTCAACAATGGAATTATGATCAGTAGAAATGGCCATGACATGGGACCTTTAACTAAAATCAAACAAATAATAGGGCCAGTAAAATGCTGGTTAAAGAAGATCAAAAATAAATGACAAATGTTTTAAGACAAGCTTCACTTTTTACCGATGTAGCTATGTAACTAATAACAATGATCAGACTATTTCTAAAGGCTCATTCTTAAAGCTACAGTGAAGATACTGATATGAAACTTGTCAGGAAGAATGCTAATAATGCTACAAAGTTGGGGGAGTGAAAAACTGTCTTGGCCATATTCACAGACCTTTCAGCTGAAGATAGCTGAACACATTTTGTCGTGGCTTCTTTCCTTGTTTATCCATCAAGCCACTAGACGCCTTAAACAGACATGTTTTAACTTGTTTTCTTCCTTTTATATTACTTACAGTTTGAAGAGTTGCTTGGCCTCCGATGGTTTGGATGGTATAAAGCGATGTGTTTGCTCAAAATAAAATAACAAACTTTTACACATGCAACAAAGAAATATACAATATTACAATACAAATATTTACAATATTCAAAACAAATAAGCAAAACTCAAATAAAATAACAAACAACTTGGGTATTCTTTCTTTCTTGACAATGCTTATATCACTTAAAAGGTAATTGTACGGTTAAAAACTGTTCCTCGACGGCGTCTTTCAAGCAGGTTGCCCATCACTGTCACTTTAGAGGAGGCGCTGTGGGAATTGTAGTCTTTTATAGTGTGTTGACTACAGACGTCAAAATTAGGTGGCCTCCAAACAAAATACTGGCTCTAACACATTTTATTTCTATGGATAACCACAAGTCTCCTCTTTACAGAGTGCCCACTTCATGCTTATCACATGCAGTATTTTGCTTAAAGGGGACCTATCATGCAAAATGCACTTTTGTACGTCTTTTATACATGAATATGTGTCCCCGGTGTTCCAGGGAACTCACCAAGTGTCAGAAAACACAACCCTCTCTATTTTCCTCCATACCCAAATCTCTAAAAAAGGGGCTGCAACGGATCTGATAAAAACTGATCCAGATTTGAACACTTTACTGACGTCAGGAAAGTGGCGCTACGGCTATTGGGCCAACTCTCCACCTATCAGGGGAATGTGGGGTTGGGCCACGGCCGGCCATTGCCGCTCGAAAGCGCTGGAGACGCTGTAGTACATATGCCAGGCCTGTAAGTGGCGCTGTAGTCTGCCACAAAAGCAGCGAAGAAGACTTGGTTACCATGGTTACCCTTCTGTTTATTCTCCGCTGTGGCTTTTTTTCTCCCTCCCCGAGGCAAGCGTTTGCTCCCGCTGCTTTAATTCAATGCAATCCCTCCCCATCGAGGCAAGCACTGTAATTCTCTCCGGTTAGTCCACCAGCAGATGACAAAATTGAGCGAAATGAGGCATGGCTAAAATGCATGATCTGTTTGGTATTTTGAAAAAGAAAAAAAGTATAAATATGCCTTATATAGGTATGGTCCTACACTATATTATTCAAATATAGCATGATAGGTCCACTTTAAATCAGGCAGTTTTTCTTTAAATAATAAATGTGTTTTTTGTCGCCTTTTCTTAAAAACTGCATATTTGTATATTTCTGCATGCTGCTCCCTAGAGAGTCTTGCATAAACCGGGTATGACTGTAAAGCTGAGACTCTGGTGGATTTGATGAGCCCAAATACTCTAGGACAGTGGTTCTCAACCTGTGGTACACGTACCACTGGTGGTGGTACGCGGGGGAATCTGAATTATTTTTATTTTTATTTTTATTTTTATTTAACCTTTATTTAACCAGATGAAAACATTGAGACAAAATCTCATTTACAATGCTGACCTGGCTAAGAAGGCAGCAACTTTACACGTTCTTACACATAACACAGACATAAAAAATACAGAAAACATAACTAAGTAAAGAAAAAGGCGAAAAGCAGTCACTACATTGTGCACATTTGGGACAGTAAGAAAGGTACACTACTTATTACTGCAAGAGCAGCTGGTGGTAAGGACCTCAGACAACTTCAATTTAAAACAGGCTATAGGGACAAGTGCCATCAGTTTGAGGCTTGATTGAATAACATTAATTACAAAATAAATCCTACTATCAAAATACTACAACGAATGAAAATAAGCTTGAGATAATTGAAACTGTGGTTTAAATAAGTTCTAATAGGCTATTGTTGTTTTTAGATTTAGAAACACATTTTTTAGCGTTGCTAATGACGACCATACTACCCGCGAACGATTAGCGAACGTTGCAAGCAAGCTAAAGAAAGAAGAAAGCTGAATGATATTAAAAACGTGGCTCAAAACGGGAGGTATTCGGAAGAGAGGTACAGAGGAGAATATTACCAGAGCAAGTGAACAAGTGAATGAGGAGAAGGACAGTCATCAACCGAGCACAAGCGCAGGCTCCGCCAGCAACGCAAAAGTGATATGCACAGCCACAACGCTGTGATGGAGGAGAGAAGTGACTCAGGAAGAAGGCATTTGCTCAAAGAATGGAGAGAAGGCTGTGACTTGTGATTATCCTAGAGTCTAGGGAAATATTTGTCTATTAAGTTTCTTTGAGAATTTAAATTAAATGTATTATAAATCTTTACAACCACAACTTGCAGACGGAGCGCATTTCGAGGATGTATGGCTTTTCAAGAATCATCTTTTCTTACATTTCCAGGCCGATGTAGACAAGGCGGTGCAGGCGGCACGTAATGCCTTTAAACTTGGGTCACCATGGCGACGGATGGATGCCTCTAATCGCGGCCTGCTACTCCACCGATTGGCCGATGCCATTGAGAGGGACGCTGCCTACCTTGCTGTGAGTAATTATTAAATGTTGAATCCCAGACCAAATCTGAAACCATTTCATCCTAAATTCCAGGATAGACCAGAGAAGAACTGCTATACTATATTTCTTGTAAATTATTATTTCTTTCTTTTGGTCATCTCGTTATTGAATTCATATCCTTTTGCACATCATTAAGTCAAAAAGAAGATGGACCAAGAATAAAAAAAACTTGTGTCAGGAAACAATTATCTTTTCTTTTGTTTCAGTTAAACAAAATTGGTAACATAAGTATGAATGACTTGAATATATACTTTTTATTTGGGAAGGGAAAAAAAAAAGGGGGAAACCTTCTTACTGATTACTTTATGTTACTTTAGTATAACCTCACTATCAAATGCAATGCAAGTAAATACAAGAAACAATTAATTACCATAAGATGTCACAAACATTATAAACATATAGGTTCACCTAAGAATTAAGATAAGAACAAATGAACCAAAGAAAGTGAAAACCATAAAGCAACAAATGATTGCGCAGTTTAAATATCTTCATGCATCTTAAATTGATCCAGTGTTGTTTGCACAGGAGCTGGAGACCATCGACAATGGGAAGCCGTACGCTGTTTCCTACACGGTGGATGTGCCCAACGTGATCAAATGTTTCAGGTAACAACACACAGCACATGTCAGAGCTTCATTTGTTGTTCTGTAACACTGCTGGCTGCCTCAGTCTATGGACGATACGGTTTCATCATCTCGAAACCTCCCCGACCATCAGCGGCACTGCCCTCTCCGGTTCAACAGAGCCAGGGTTTCTTTGCTTTAGCTGGCCTGAACCCCTCTCCAGAGATAACACCACACAGGACATTATCAGCTGTTAAAAAGGGTTTTATTTATCAGGCTCTGCAGGTTACATAAAAGGGGCGTTTTTTCATTTGACTCTTCTACCGCACAAAATTGACGAATCGCCGCCTATTTCTGTCTTGTAAATATCCCCTCTGTTGTCACTTTCAAAGTTCTGCCTCTTTAATAAAGGCACTGGCCTGAAAAAATAAGTCACAAAACTCACCTATCCAGAGCTGCTTTTAATGTCGGATTTAATGTTTGGTGTTTTTTGTATACCCGTTTTAATGTTTTATGAAATATAACAAAACAACACAGATATTGAACACCTATGAACCTGCTGTGTTTAGGTACTACGCAGGCTGGGCTGACAAATGGGAGGGGAAGACCATCCCCATCGATGGAGACTTTTTCTGCTACACCCGACATGAACCCATTGGAGTCTGTGGACAGATCATACCGGTGAGGGGGGGCAGGGAGAAAAATGGAAATAACATTTCAAATTATATAAAGAGAGGAGGAAAAGCATTTTAAATATTTGCCCAGACTATATTTCTCTGTAGACTAAGCACTGCTGCAGAGGAAAGCATTTTACCCGGATACACTTACACACGGAGAAGCAGTGAGGTTCGAAGAGTTCCTAATTCATCCATTGCAAATTTATAGTCAGATTGCATAGGTTATGTATAAGCCTGTAAAGAATTTTGTGAATACGTATGGTTATATACTTACAACTCATTATTCAGGGTTATGCTTCATTTGGATTATTCTATATTTCCTTGAAAGCCCATCATATCTGACTGATGTTTTGTCCTTCATACACTCACCACTGATCCACTAAAGCAGTGGTTCCCAACCTTTTTTTGTCTCGTGTACTCCTTGAGCTGGTCTCCCTTCTATAAGAATGTCCTCACTCATCTGTGAAGATATGCCTAAATGTTTTCTTGTGTTAAACCCTTGGTAATCGTATTTAACCCAACTGCTCCTTAAATAAAAATCACTGATATAACTCGCCCTTAATACAAATGCATTTAAACTTGACATTTACACCGATTGTGAGTGAAAATTATAATAACAAAGACTCACTTCTAGCAGTTTCAACATGTTTTGTTAAGAGCTCTGAAAATACCCCACGCAACCCGTTAAGTACCCCTAGGGGTCCCCGTACCCCCTGTTGGGAACCACTGCACTAAAGAGTCGAAGCAGAAGCCGGTGGTATCACAAAGTTTGCACTTCTTTAATATGTACGTGTTACTGTCACTTGATTCAGACTCCAAAAAAGACAAAAGATTTGATATCACAAATCTGATAATAAATGTATAATTGATTTGAGCAATAGCAAACAAGGAACAGTGGAGGGGGAGGAGTGTAATAGTGTGATCATTAACCAAACTAATTGTTAACCGAGGTTGAACAAATGTGAACTCGTTGATACAGGGAACGTGCCTGGATTTGTTTGTCCCGCAGGCTTTAGTAGAAGTGAATGTAAAATGAAAATGTGTTGTGAACATATCTTTACCTCTTCTCCCTGCAGTGGAACTTCCCTCTGCTGATGCAGGCCTGGAAGCTGGGCCCTGCCCTGGCCACTGGGAACACCGTGGTGATGAAGGTCGCTGAGCAGACTCCGCTCACAGCTCTCTACGTAGCCAGCCTGATCAAAGAGGTACTCATCAACAACATGCATGATACTTTCACCAGATACACATTAAGACCATCTATCATGTGTGACGTGTTCCTGTTTCCAGGTGGGCTTCCCTGACGGTGTTGTGAACATCTTGGCAGGCCTGGGGCCGTCAGCTGGGGCTGCCATCGCCCGGCACATGGATGTGGACAAGGTGGCCTTCACTGGATCCACAGAGGTAGCACCAACTTAATGTACTGCTGTCGACATGCTAAAACTCATTCAAAAGCTAAAAGGTATATTGTGAGCATATGTGGGCAAGAAGATATTTGACCCTGATCGAAAGGAACTTATTTATAACACATACTCTTAAGATAATACTTGTTGATGTTGTGTTTTTAAAGAGTGCTTTTTAGGATTTTCCCTTTCCTGTAGTGTGTTATATACAGTAGGTTGTTGTGCCTGTAAATTGTTCTCCAGGCAGATGTCACTTCTGTAACATGTTGACATCACAGCACAATTGTAACATAGTGACATCACTATGTTGCAATTGCGCTTCAACTCATTGTACATGATAGGCTAAAGGACGGGACATCTATAAGCAGTTGACCCATTACAACAGAGCAGACCAGTTAACCAATCAGAGCAGACTAATGCTAATGTAAACACCGACCATATTACGTCCAAAACAGTCGGGCATTGTTTCTGATAGCAACGTTTCTGATAGGGCCGTGGGTCTGCATTGCCGATATGACGTCATATCGGACGCAAATCTGGATCAGCTCCGTTGTAGCCCCATTTTTAGAGATTTGGGTACGGAGGAAAAAAGAGAGGGTTTTATTTTCTGACGCTGCGTGAGTTCCCTGACACACCGGGGACACATCTTTATGTATAAAAGACATCAAAAAGTGCATTTAGCATGATAGGTCCCCTTTAATCTCTGACCTTGAATGTACATTTGTAAAATTCTGCTTTTAAACTGAATACATCGTCTCAGATTGAATCAGTTCAAAAAAAAAAGCTTTGAGTAAATATTCACCTGTTTTCTTCTGTACTCTGCTCTTAGAAAGGGCATTGATTAGAAAGTGAAATCAATAGTAGGAATATTAGTTTACTTTTAGATTTGGTAGACCATATTTGCAGTGGAATATTTTTGCTATATTAAGCAGCTGTCATCAACAGTGGGCTTTAAATCTTCCTTCTTACAAATATTAAGGGAACCTTGATGATAAGCTCCTTCTCCACAGAAGGCAAACATACATTACACCATCATAAGGAATATTGGCAAAATAAGAACATAATAACTCACCCTGCAGTGTCAGCTTTTTACAAATTCTGTTCCAATCTGTTAGTTTGGAAATGGCATTCTAAGTCAGTTGATATAGTATTTCTAGCACTAACTCTATCTGTCCTATCAGGTGGGTCATCTGATCCAGCAGGCGTCAGGCGGCAGTAACCTGAAGAAAGTCACTCTGGAGCTGGGAGGAAAGAGTCCAAACATCATCCTGTCTGATGCCAACAGTATGTATTTTCCCTTCCAGGAACATTCTAACACAGAAGGTTTACAGTTGGTTTTAGGTATTTATTATAATTCAGTTTGGGAATAAATGCACAGCTAAAGCAAAGTCTGGCCATGTAAATATATAAAACCTGTGATGCTGTTTGCCTTTGTCTGGTTCTGTATTTCGTAGAGCTCACACGAAGCGTAAGAACAATTAAAGGGTTAATTTTCTGTAAGACTTGGTGAATTAAGCAAACCTAGACATAGCTATTGTGGAGGGATGTTTTCTGGTATATTAGGGGTTCAGTATCTTAACCAATGACACTTTGAACCACCACCCTTCTGATCGGTGGAGGACCGCTCTGCCTCCTGAGCTACAGCTGCTTCAAGTGACCTCCACTGGATTTATTTCTTACTGCAGCTGCATAGGATGTTTATACGTTTGTGCTGAGCATGTTAGCTTTGCTTTTGAGCCTTAGCTAGGTCAGGAGCTTCGAGTTCATTTGCAGCCAGGCCAGCTCAGCTCCACCTCTTTGCCCTTATTTGGATTGAGCTGGGAGCAGGCGGGAGTTAGGGCTGATGTCACTGCCAAGATGTCGCCGTCCAGATCTTCCCACTTTTTTCCTTTACAGCAGAAACCTATGAGTGATGTGACAGACACTACCATTTATATATATATATATATATATATATATATATACAGTAGTATGCAGCAGCCCCATGTCAATGGTGCCATTATAGTTCCATCAGAATCCACAGAGCCGGACGAAGTTCATCTTATTGTCCCATTGTGTGGTGGAAAGTCTAACCAGATAATGGTGACACACCATTGAGTGCACTTGTACATGAATACAGAAAGTAAGAAATAAAACCACTGGAAGTCCCCTGCTGTTAGGGTCTATCAAGAGAGGACACTGACAGATGCTTGAGAGAGTATTTCAGGTGTACTAACTGACTTTGTCAATCCCCCCCAGTGGAAGACGCAGTGGAGCAGTCCCACTTCGCTCTGTTCTTCAACCAAGGCCAGTGCTGCTGTGCTGGCTCTCGGACCTACGTCCAGGCAGACATTTACGATGAGTTTGTGGAGCGGAGCGTGGAGCGAGCTAAGAGACGAGTGGTGGGAGACCCCTTCGACCTGAAGACCGAGCAGGGACCTCAGGTAGGAACCATTTTTGGTCTTGGTTTCTTCTTTTCTAAGGTTACATTGTTCTGTTGTTTTACATATTACACTTAGCTAAAAAACATCTTATTGATATTGCTTTCTCTGAGGTATTGAGGTAATCCAAAAGTAGCGGAAAGTAATCAGGTTACAAATACGTTTATATTTTGATTCCCAGATTAGGTTCCTGTAAAAGGTATTTGTAGTCATTGTTCTAATGGAATAAATGTTTAAAGTAATCCTCCCAATGATAACACATGTATATAGGGTTGGCAATGGCATAGTCCGGCAGTGGCTCAGTCTGTAGGGACTTGGAGAGGTACCAGTACACCCCCCCTACCCCATAGCTCCTGGGTGCTGTTCAATAGCAATAGCTGTTCACTGCTCCTAGCACTAGGATGGGTTAAAGGCAGAGGTCCAATTCCACTGTGTGTGCTGTGTGCATGTACGTGTGTGTGACACATAAAGAGGGTTTCATCTTTCGATTCTAACATTTAACTGATATTGCATTTTTAGAAGAGACAAACATTAAGGGAAAAACAGTCATGAAAGAAAATATCTATTAGTACATATACATTCTTATACATACACAGAACACAGACCAGACAAGAAACTGCAGTCAGTAATATCACGACTAGCAAACCCTTTCACAAGGTCATTCCATGCATCTTTCCTATATAAAAACCTGAAATATAATGTGTGCTGTTTCCTCTCGATGTCCCAAAGGTGGATCAGGAGCAGTTCAACAAGATTCTGGGCTACATCAGCAGCGGAAAGAGAGAAGGAGCCAAGCTGTTGTGTGGAGGAGGCGTGGCTGCAGACAGAGGGTACTACATCCAGCCCACCGTGTTCGGAGACGTCCAGGACAACATGACCATCGCCAGGGAGGAGGTAGGGTTTAAAACGCCTCAATAAAAACAATCAACATAATCAGGGAAAAATTTATTACAACTAATTTACTTTTGTGCTCCCCAAAATGAGTGGTTCAATATTCCAACCTTGGTTGGTGCTTCTCTGTGCACAGTGTGGTGTCCTTCAGTGTGGCTGAGCGGTCTGCTTTTGTATTCTGATATACTGAGATACTCACCGCTGCCATTAGCTACTTTTAGGGGAAGAATTAAAATATTGTATTTTCTATATTTGTGTAACTATATTTGCGTTTTCCTTTTTTTTTTTAAAATAATATAACATTACATACAGTTAAAAAAAGAAAGGCGTAATTGAATTATGAGGAATAACCTATAAAACTAAAGTCAATAACTGGGTTCCTTAGCTGGAATTATTAGCACCTAAACTAAGATTGATTTATCCCTTTTATAGCCTTATGGGTATCTGAGAATCTCTGCAGAATCCCACTTTTTAGCAAGGAGCACAATGTCTCCTGAGTGCGTAATAAGCATGATATGTGAGTTAGATGTCTACAGATCCAAAGTGTTTTAGCTGGTTTGCTCTTCATGAAATTATTCCTGTGTGATTTCTTTTTTTTTCTCTTGCAGATCTTTGGTCCAGTTATGCAGATCCTGAAGTTCAAATCCCTGGAGGAGGTGGTGGAGAGAGCCAACGATACTAAATATGGCCTGGCAGCCGCTGTGTTTACTAAAGACATCGACAAGGCCAACTATGTTTCGCACAGTCTGCGAGCCGGCACTGTCTGGTAGGTCTGAGTGCAAACATTAATGTCTCTGAGGCCTGGGTATTCATATTGCATCTTTCAACTGTTTTGTTGCATCTCTATCAACTCTGATATAACATTTTTATCATTATAAATGTGCGTTTCTGTGGCTATGTGGTTCAAATTCTTTTACAAAGAAGTCCAGTGGGACAAAATGACTAAAACTATGAAAACGACTCAATGTGTCCCTGTCTCTCTGTCCTTGCAGGATTAACTGCTATGACGTGTTAGCGGCTCAGGCTCCATTCGGAGGTTACAAGTCTTCCGGTAACGGCAGAGAGCTTGGGGAGTACGGCCTTGAGAACTACACAGAAGTCAAAACGGTAATTTTCAAAAATATACTATGTATATAAAGGATATAGGGATATGATATAAAGAGGACATATCCTGCTCATTTTCAGGTTCATATTAGTATTTTGTGCCTCTGTGACATGTCTCCATGCTTTAATGTTCAAAAGCTCTTTATTTTTCTCATACTGCCTGTGCTGCAGCACCTCTTTTCACCCTCTGTCTGAAACTAGAGCCCAATCTGCTCTGATTGGTTAGCTGGCCGGCTCTGTTGTTAAAAACTTAGAGATGTGTAGGAAATGTCCAATCCAATCAGGTATGGAGTGCTAGCCAATAGAAGAGAGAGAGAGAGAAACTCCCTCTGGATGGAACACAGGGATTTTAGCAGACCATTGGCCGGTATCGTGACAAACTATGACAGCGTTTTAATTGTCGGGGATTTTAACGTGCATGTCTGTTGTCTAAGCCACTAGCCAAAGACTTTCTTGATGTTGTAGATGCTTTTAACTTCATACAACATGTCTCTGGCCCCACGCAAGAGCATGGGCACACATTAGACCTAGTCTTATCCCATGGTCTGCCCATTTCAAATGTCAATGTGTGTGATGCAGCTTTATCAGAACACTTGCCTGTGCTATTTGATTCTGCCCTGTCATAGTCTTAAATCATGCGCTCCTGTCCGTCACGGTTGTATGATGAAACCTTCCACTGCTGCTAGTTTCTCCCCTGCATTTGTAAACTTAGCCCAGTCTGATACTATGTCCTCTGACTCCCTGGACACTGAGCAATTGACCTCAGCCTTTCTCTCTACCTGCACTGGAGCTCTTGACATTGTTGCTCCCCTGAAACTCATGCGCCCCAGAGCTAAATCTGAACCCTGGCTCAATGACGTCACTCGTGCTGCCAGGCGTGAGTGCCGGCAGGCTGAGCACAAGTGGAAGAAGGACAAGCTTCATGTAACTCATGACATTTTAAAAGAGAGTTGGAGAAAGTATCAGAGCATTGTAAAAGCTGAAAAGATGAGTTATTTTTCTGATATTATTTCTAGTAATTTAAACAAACCTTGTGTTCTTTTTAAAACCATTGATGCTATGTTAAACTCTCCTTTGTCCACTGCTATTTTATAGACAAGATCTCCACTGGCGCAGTTCCACTGCAGCGCGGAGCTCGCTTTAAGCGTGCCGTGTCGTGCCGTCCCCTTTTTTGGTTGTGCTTCCACTAGGCCAATTACCGGCGCGGCACGGCGCGGGGCCACTTTTTCACCTCTTTTCTGGCCCTAGAAAATTGTGGTTCTATCGGGGCCAACAAACAGGGCTGAGTCGGGCTGAGTATGCTAAACTAGAGAGAGGAGCGCTGGCAAGAGGGCTCCAACTACAACAAGATGGACATATTTGACCGTGATTTAATTGTAATACACGTTTCAAAATGATGCCGAAGTAACAACATACTGATACCGGTTAGTAAAAACCATGAATTAATGCTTTGTCAAGTCTGCAGACAGACGGCAGGCGAAAAACCTTTTAAAATGCGTGTTTTCTAAATGGAGATTGGCTAAGCTAACGCAGTATATGCTCCGACCGTCCACACTCACAACAACGGCCTATACAGACATAAATAAAGCAGCGACTGTATTCACCATGACACAGGCAGTCTGTGGTGTGTACTTGTTTAACTTTTGTCGAGTTTCTGAACATATATAAGGAGCTGTGAGCTCTGAGTGCTAACAGCTAACGGCTGTGTTGTGTTTCTGGATTTCTCATTGAAGATGACGTCACGGCTCCGCCTACACTGCGTTACTATAGTAACTACCCCAGTTCCTAAACTGTAATGGAAGCGCAGCATGAAGTGAGTCGGCCCTGTTAAGGCCCAACGCGGCCAAGCCGTACCGAGCCGTACCGAGTGTGGCCGAGGCCGACCGTGTAGTGGAAATGCGCCATTATTAGAGAGCCTGTATCTCACCACCCTCTTTTGACCCCTCCATTGACATCACATGCACGGCTGTCTTCCAGCACTTTGGACCTGTGTCGTTGTCATCTCTCTGTGACATTGTTGCTAAATTAAAACCCTCATCTTGTCCCACAGACCCAGTCCCTCCTCGACTTTTTAAAGAGATATGGGACACTATTGGATCTAATGCCCATAAAATTATAAATAGCAGCCTAGAGTCCGGTTCTGTGCCAGTTTATTTTAAACAAGCGGTTGTGGCACCCCTGATAAAAAAATCTGGACACTTCTATCTTCTCTAATTACAGACCCATCTCGAAACTTCCTTTTATTTCAAAAATATTGGAGAAAACCGTACTCGCTGCAGTCTTTTATACATGCACACAATATTTTTGATATTTTTGATATTTTTGATATTTTTCAGTCCGGTTTTAAAGCGCTTCACAGTACTGAGTCTGCCCTTCTAAGAGTGTTCAATGACCTCCTGGTCACTACAGACTCTGGTGACTCTGCCATCCTTATGCTCTTAGACCTCACAGCTGCCTTCGACACGATTGACCACTCCATCCTTATCTCTCGTCTAGAGCACTGTGTGGGTATCAGGGGCACTGCCTTAGAGTGGTTCAGGTCCTATCTGTCCCAGAGATCTTTCTCCGTTAGACTTGGTGACTTTACATCATCGTCTGCCCCCCTATCCTGTGGAGTTCCCCAAGGTTCTATTTTGGGGCCCATTTTTTTTTCTTTATACCTTCTCCCCCTTGGACTGATTTTTAGAAAACATGGCGTCTCCTACCACCTTTATGCGGACGACTCCCAAATATATCTACCCCTAAAAAAAAACACCAGCTCTCTGATGCCCCTGGTTGACTGTCTTAATGACATAAAGGCCTGGAAGGCGCTAAACCTTTTAAATATAAATGAGAGCAAAACGGAGGTCATTGTGTTTGGACCAAATGGTGATGTCCCTTCCATTGACCTGGGTTCCCTGCAACCGTATGCAAAACCCATGGTCACAAATCTTGGCGTCAAAATCGACAGTGCTTTTAAATGAGATAAACAGATAAACTCTGTGGTTAAGTCCAGTTTTTATCACCTGAGGCTCCTGTCCGCTTTTTAGACTTTGAGCGTGTAATTCATGTCTTTGTTTCGACTCGTTTAGATCAGCGGTTTTCAAAGTGTGAGGCGCGCCTCCCCGGGCGTCAGAAAAAAATGACGAGAAACAGTGAAATCTAGCAAGTTAACTTCAGCTAACTTTATGCGAGCGGCAACATGGATCGATTTGTAGTGAAGTTACCTAAAGTGAGAGAGGAGACAGCGTCTGGCAGAAAACGTGTGTCACTTGCACACTTTTGGCTGTCTGTGGAGACCGAGTTCCCCCACCTCGCCGAAAAGGCTGTAAAAGTGCTCATTCCCTTCACCTCCACCTACCTGTGTGAGTGCAGGTTTTCCACATTGACTTTGATCTAAAGCAAGTACCGGTCAAGGCTGCAGCCAGAGGATGATCTGTGTTTGTTCCTGTGTGCATCAAAGACGCAGACTCATTGTTACCACTAAATTAGGGGTGAGTGTAATAAGGAGGCAAAGTTGACGTTCAGTGTGTTGCCGGGAGCATATAAGGATTTATCCACGATGTTGAAAATGTAAAAAAAAAAAGTTTAAAACATAAAGATAAAAAGGTTTGAAAAAGTTATTGTTTAATGTTTTAAGGAGGTGACGCTACTCAGCCAATCACATCGGTGCAGTCATTGAGTCAGCACGATAGATTCAAACACACAAACAGAGACGAGACAAGAGGAGAGAAACAGTCGGAGTCATTTCAAATGGCGTGCTCAAAAAAGAGAAAGGTAGACCGGGAAAACAGAGCATTTAATGAAATGTTCTCTTACTGGACATCTTTGAAATGCAATTGAATAGCCCTGCATTATAGCAACAACAACAATAATAATAATAGCAATAATAATTGGGAGGGGGGGCGCGGCTGTTCTTATGTTCTCTGAGGGGAGGCTCACCTTCCCACACTTTGAAAACCCCTGCTTTAGATTATTGTAATGCACTTTATGCCGGCCTAAACAAGACCTTGCTGGCACGCCTGCAGCTTGTACAAAACGCTGCGGCTCGGCTGCTTACAGGAACCCGCAAGCATGAGCACATCACACCAATTCTGGCTTCCCTCCACTGGCTTCCCTCCACTGGCTTCCCTCCACTGGCTTCCCTCCACTGGCTTCCTGTCCATTTTAGAGTTCTTTTTAAGATTTTATTGTTTGTTTTTAAATCACTTAATTGGCTGGCCCCTCAGTACATCTCCGACCTCCTAAAGGTGTACACCCCCTCAAGGGCTTTGAGGTCGGCTGATCAGCTGCGGCTGGTAGTCCCTAAAACAAAGAAAAAGACCAGGGGAGACCGAGCCTTCTCAGCGGTAGCCCCCAGGCTCTGGAACGACCTGCCCCCCCCATGTCAAATTGTCGCTCACTCTTCAAACTTTTAAGTCCCGCCTAAAGACCCACCTCTTTTCCCTCGCTGTCGAGTCAGTCTGAGCTACTGTATGCTCCACCTATTCTATGCTTTTATTGTCTGTCCATAGCCTTTATGTGCCTTTTATCTATTTTGTTATAATGTTATGTTCGTTGTGAAGCAAACCCTCTGTTTTTAAAATGTGCTATAGAAATAAAGTGGATTGGATTGACATGCACACAAACAGGAAACAGGAAAAAGGGAAAACCCCCAAAAAGCACAATAGGGCCTCTTTAATATGTTAAGCTTATCAAATAAATCCAGGCTGGTTATGCAGCAGGAAGCTCTTCCTTTCAGGATGGAATGCTAACATCCAAACGTGTATGATTGTTAATAAGGCATTGTCAATCAGCACCAGGCATGATAGATAGATCCCAATTTGGGAGATGTTTGCGTTGCAGCAGCAAGGCAATGTACGTAAGAAAAATTAAGACACAAGAAATAAACAGTCCAAAATATTTCTGAAATAGAAATAAAGAGCAAAAAAAAAAGAAAAAAAGAAGATAAGAAAAAGAGAGAAGAGAGAGAGGATAGATAGAGAGAGAGATAGAGAGAGAAGAGAGAGAGAGAGAAAGAGATAGTAGAGAGAGAGAGAGAGAGAGAGAGGAGAGAGGAGAAAGATAGAGGAGAGAGAGAGGAGAGAGAGAGAGAGAGAGAGAGAGAGGAGAGAAGGAATAGAGAAGAGGAGAGCGAGAGAGATGGAAGAGAGAGAGAGCGAGGAAGAGAGAGAGAGAGAGAGACGAGGGGAGAAGAGAGAGGAGAGTATAGGGAGAGAGAGAAGAGAATAAATGGCTCTATGAGACTGAGAGAGAGAAGATATGAAGAGAGAGAGAGAGAGAGAGAGAGAGAGAGAGAGGGAAGAGGAGAGGGAGAGAGAGAGAGAGAGAGAGAGAGAGAGAGAGAGAGAGAGAGGGGAGGGAGAGAGAGAGAGAGAGAGAGAGAGGGGGAGGAGAGAGAGAGAGAGACAGAGAGAGAGAGAGAGAGATAGAATATAGAGAGATAGAGAAATATATATATAGATACATAGATATAATATATATATATATATACATATGTATATCTATATATATATATATATATGTGTATATATATATATATATGTATATACATATATATTATATATATTGTATATATTAATATGTATATATATACATGATGTGTTGTATGTAGTATTCTATATATATATGTGTATGTGTATATATATATATATATATATGATCTATCAGCAATGTGTCCTCATTACAATTAGTCACAATTCTGGCATAGTTACTTTTGAATATTACTATTCTTTTTTTTTTTTAATGCGATTTTCTCTATTTTTCATTCAAGTTTCCCTTTTTCATGACAACTTCTGACAAGATTCTTTAGAACTTGAAATCCTGAGAGTTGTATTGTCTGTGTTTCAGGTGACCATGAAGGTGCCTCAGAAGAACTCCTAGGGAGTCGGAGAGCTGCTGACTGAAGAATGCGCCCGCTCTCCGTTAGACCTGTTGAAGTCACTTAAACACTATCAATCGCTTTGTAACAACAAAAACATCTACACAAAATCTCTTTTCTACTTGTCTTTATACAGGACATTTTTGAGCTGGAACCAATTTATGAATGTCTCAATAAGAATTTGTATTCAGCATTGCAGGCCCTTGTTTGTATACATTTTAATTGAAGAAAAATGTGACTATATTAATTTCATCAAAGAATATGCAAACATATGAGCAAAGAATGAAAATAAATAAAAAGGATGCTATGTATGAGCTGTACTGTAAGACATGTATGCACTGACTGGAGACCACTCGACATCAGTAAGAACCACCTGGCTGTAAAAGTAAGGCTTATCTATGACTAATGAAACTGCACCTGTTTGCTAGGTGTGGTGAAGACAGGAAATGCATTTTCCTGAAGCATGGGTCAGTTTCTTGAAGTTGCACAAGAGTGGGAGGGCTCACAGCTGTAGGAATAACTAGAACATTCTACCAATTGCTCCAAATGTATGTGGTTGAGTAAAGTCTCGCCCTGATGACTTTCACAGTTATAGGCTGGAGCCGCACGAGAACGGTAATGGTCGTATCCGCTACAGTTCTCTATCATATAGACGGTTCGGCCACACGAGGCCTACAGGGAAACGCAGATAACGATAACGGGTCCCAAGGTGGGTAGATCTGCGGAAGAAACGCTCTGGGGGGCCAAACGGCTCCGTGTCTACGCCCTATACGATCATTTTCTGATAGATGACGCAATAGCCCCGCATCTCCCCACCTCTCCTGCTCACCCCCGTGTCACCCGTGTCATTGCTGATGTGTTTCGCCAACAACAACAACAGTTTTCCGAGTGTTTCGAGCCAGGTCCCGGTATCTCGCAGGACAGTGCACCCAGCAGACGGCCACATTCAACATGTTGAATCGGCCGTGTGTCGGACACAAGCTATCGGGCCAAGAAACCACTCTGATCAGCTGTTCAGCTAGCAAATGAGAAGCGAAACAGAAGTGAGGGATGTAAACAAACGATTTAAGAAGGCACAGGACAGCAGCTAAACACCAGCAGGTGATACTTAAAGACATCAAACATAGCCCTTAAATGTCCTCTCTTACCTCCCACACATAGCAGTTGTTTGTTGAAATATGCTTCTAACAGGCTGAAAATAAAACCTTGGAGTAGGAAACTGATGTAGTATTCAGTTAAAAGTATATTCAGAGCCTTTATTTATGTAAAAGTAGCAATACATCAGTGAAAAAGATATGTATAAGTAAAAGTCATGCATTTAAAATACAACATATTAAATATTTAGGTTGTATTTTTAAATGCAATAATGTGAATATTAATGTTGCAACCGTGCTCAATTGGATTTAATTGATATACTACTTGGTAACCTAGAACAGCACATCCATATTATTTTTAGATTTTCTATGAATCTGAATCTTCAGAAAAACTACAGTCATCAAATTAAAAGGGAGTAAATAGTCAAATATTTGCCTCTGAATCGTAGAAGAATAAAATACAATAGAAAGGAGATACTCAAGTATAGTAGATTCAAGCAGCAGTTTATGGAGAGACCTGGTTTCAGTATAGTGATCATAAGTCCATCTCCTCTCACGTTTCTCCTGCCTGACACACAATGAGCACATGTATACAGTCACTCATTAGCAATCACCTCCAGGAGCACATCTAACATTTAGGCACAGCGTGCAGAAACAATCAGAAACATTCTCCTGGGTAGCTTTTTGAATTATTAGGAGTACTTCAGAACAAAAAAACCCCCAATCATCTGCAGTGAAATTTGATTTTAATAGACAAATAAACATCACATCTTTATTTTTCATCCAGCAGCAACGTTTTGTGTCCAGAAAGCAGCTCGCCGAGTCAAGAAGCTCCTGTCGGCTTAATTTAAAGGGGACCTATCATGCAAAATGCACTTTTGTACGTCTTTTATACATGAATATGTGTCCCCGGTGTTCCAGGGAACTCACCAAGTGTCAGAAAACACAACCCTCTCTATTTTCCTCCATAACCAAATCTCTAAAAAAGGGGCTGCAACGGATCTGATAAAAACTGATCCAGATTTGAACACTTTACTCACGTCAGGAAAGTGGCGCTACAGCTATTGGGCCAACTCTCCACCTATCAGGGGAATGTGCGGTTGGGCCACGGCCGGCCATTGCCGCTCAAAAGCGCTGGAGACGCTGTAGTACATATGCCAGGCCTGTAAGTGGCGCTGTAGTCTGCCACAAAAGCAGCGAAGAATACTTGGTTACCATGGTTACCCTTCTGTTTATTCTCCGCTGTGGCTTTCTTTCTCCCTCCCCGAGGCAAGCGTTTGCTCCTGCTGCTTTAATTCAATGCAATCCCTCCCCGTCGAGGCAAGCACTGTAATTCTCTCCGGTTAGTCCACCAGCAGATGACAAACACCCACCTCTCTGCCTCTTCCAAGGAACGAGGGGACCGTGCGGCAGAGTTTCAGTTTCAGTTTCTTTCGCCGGTCAAGATGTCCGTTAAAGTTTAAATCTTCCGGACAAAATTAGAAAAGTGCCGGTCAAAGGTCTTCTTTGTTATTTATTGAGCTTTAAAACAAATGAATAACGACTCTATATAGGCTATAATAACACACGGAGGACGGAGATCTCTCTTTCTCCCCCTCTTCTGACAGCCCAGCAGCTGATCAGAGCGGCTCCCCTCTCCTGCAGGGGGGCGTGGTCAGCTGCAGCTCACAGAATCAGACCCGTAGACAGCAAACAGCACATAGAGCGAAATGAGGCATGGCTCAAATGCATGATCTGTTTGGTATTTCGAAAACAGAAACGTATAAATATACCTTATATAGGTATGGCCCTACAATATATCATTTAAATATAGCATGATAGGTTTCCTTTAAAAAAAGAAAAACACAACCAGGGCCCGTTCATTCTGAGCCCCTGGACACAGAGGGGTCCGATCTAAAGTGATTTCACCAGGGGCCGTCAAGAAACTCATTCATAGCGACTTTAAAGAGCAAGCTGATTCCAGACCAGTGCTGTCAAAATAGATACATAGAATCCGTAGAAACACACAGTTACATTTACAAGTGACGAAGCACAACACTCTGGGTTTGTATAACACAAGACATTTGTGTTTGTAGTTGAATGAAACGATAAAAGAAGGTGATATGTTCGATATACTCTAGGTTGCTCTTTGATCATGTCAGAATACAGGCAGACGCTTTTCTTTGGGAAAACTTCCAGTCAAGGTGACGCTTCACACATGGATCTATAGAGGGCACCCCATCAGAGAGAAAGTTATGAATAAAGGCAATCCAACCCTGATCATGAGCAGAGACGACGCAAAAACACAGTTCACTCATAACTGTGGCCAAAAATCATTACGCATATTGTGCTTGGACATGACTATCAAAGGCAGGACACATTAAATACAATCACAGGTATACACACAGCATAAATAAATAATACAAATATATATAATCTATCTTGCTTTCTAGTGCCTTATTGCACCCAGGTTCAAATGCATGAAAATGCACATCATATCCTGAATTAAAGAAACAAAAAAGACTCATAGAAGAGATACAGTAAGACTATAAGGTCAATAATAAATAACAGGGAGGGGTGAGAGGTCACGGTGGTGGTAGAAGTGTGTGTGCATGTATGTGTGAGATGAGTGTCAGTGCATGCATGGGTGCATTGTGAAGTTTGAGTAGCTATATATATCAATGGATGTTCACTGGAGAGGCAGTGTGGTGCATTCATCCTGCTGAGGTTTGTTAACAGCAGGTCCAGTCAGCGGGGTGCTGGGGGGGGTTCATGCTGTAGCGGTGGTGTAGGGAGGGGGCGCCTGCTTTATAGGGATGCTGACGCTGTCATCATACGGAGGGAGCAGCACCTGGGGAAAGGGGAGAGGAAAACAGATGGTTATTTTATCACTTGGGGTTGCAATGGAGCAGGTGCACTAATAGTCATTATAGTTACTATTGCACAATGACGACTATTCAGTTTGTGCCGGTTGTTATCAAGTTGCCTAAAAATAAACCAGCCCTCATGAAAATTCAAATAGAAGAATTCAACAGTTTAACAAAACTTTGGATCAATTAAAGTATACAAGTAGAGTAGCCTACAATATAAGACATTTCAAAAAGGCATTTCTCTTTGCACAACAGAAAATCTGATGGACAGGAAGCGCTTTGAAATTTAAAACAACAATTATTATTATTATTATTATTATTATTGTTTAAGCAACTTCAGTATATTACATTTTTGTATAATATTCTTGAAATTGCAGACTATTATTTACTGGTCAATTAATTGGTTTACGGGTCCCAACTCAAAATATTCAGGAACTTTTTTCATTGAATTTATAGTTCAAGTTATGTTTAACTGCCCACAACGCCCCACTTAGTTATGATTTTTACTATATTCAACTTAAAACGCTTAATTCACTCAAAGTCAGATTTGCATCCTCTCAGGTAATCCACTGAGAGTGTGCCTTTTACTCATTTTACTCCACTGTCTAGTTTCACTGTTTACAATATGGCTAACAGAAATATTAGCTTTCTCGATGGTTTGTTTGCCTTCATACACAACAGCATGTGTGTGACCCGTGTCTCCCATGTTTTAAACAATGAGGCTTAAGGATGATCTGGACATCAGGTAATCGATAACCTTTAACAGCCTCTACTACTGACTACATCCTCCTACACAGATCAATGCCTCCTTGAACTGTCGTGCCCTTTGATGGAAATAATTAGGACACATTCTCTGAACATGATAGATGAGAAGCTGGACTCTTATTATTTGCTTTTGTTGGCCTTGGAGTGAGACTTCTTGCACTGATGTAAGGAAATAAAAAATGCAAGTAGAGCGGCCTCATAAATAATGTTTCTTCTAAAATTCGCTAGATGTGGAAACATTATAATAACCATCATTAGTAATGGTACATTTATAGTTGAGGCAACTTTAATGATTGATTTTAGTTATTAGAAACATTGTAATGCTAATTGAGTGTTAACTAATTATAAGAAATGCTTTAATTATTTTATTGTAACAGTTTATTGTTGCACATTTGTAATATCGGATTCATATTAAATATTACTATATATTATTTAAAGCAGATGCTCTGAAAACCAAAGAGAGACACGTCTGCTTGATTTATGCTACTAGAACAAAGGATGCTCTGTAAAGTTGTTAGCAGCAAGTTAATGACAGTGAGCTAAGTGAACGATTTGAGTCGCAGTCATAATAATTCATGTAGTTAAGTACCATTTTTTGCATAATCGGTGGCAGCATCCCCATACTAAATCATCGTCCAGCGAATATGTTGGACACAGAGTTCATGGTTAACCAACTCATGAAGTTTTGGCATTAGCATTAGCCTCTTCTAGCTAGCTAACAAGTTACAGCTAATAAAACCTGCTAGCAAGAACAGTAACTTACGGTCATTGGTTAGAAATTTGAAAACTCTTTGTGAAATGAAAGACCTGATGTTTAAAGACTTTTAAATGGTAATCTGCAACTGTTGCCCAGATTGGTTCTGGCCTAGCAAATGTAATTTTAGGTAGCGGGGCTGAGCAAGTTGGGTTATCACTCAAATCAACCTCATAAAGAGAAATGGTGCTGGTTTGTTCTATGAGCCATTGAAAGGGTTACTTATTGTAACTCATTTACTTTCAAATAAAGCACCTGACTGTGTTTCTGTAAGACTTTTCTATGTTTGCAGGTCAGTCGGTAAGAAAGAAGCTTCCTGTTCCCTTCTTTACAGGGTAATGCTGTTTCTTGTTTCTTTAAACCTTACATAAAGACTTTCAGTGTATAAAAGGTTTTTTACACTCAGAGGAGTCTTAAGCTGCAGACTGAGGAGAACAGGTTTCTCAAAATACTTATGAAACTCAACATACTGCAAGTTAAAAATAGAGCCGGATAATGACAGCTCCTTTTGTGTTTGTGCAGAAAACGGGCGTTTCACAATTGCAGAAAAAGGTCATTCATATTTCTACAGCCCACTTATTTTTCTCCCTTCTGTCAAAGCATGGAGGTATAATAAGTGTGTGGGCAGCAAGATGACAGCGGTCAAGGGGCCAGGCCTGAGCAACAGGAGAGCCAGACAAAGCTCCCTTTTACTGTGCTACAATGTGCCTTTGCCAGGATGGAGCTTCATTTCTCTGTCCAAGTCTGTTCATCCATCTATGTGAGCTGGTGTAATATTGCCTGCTATGATAGCCTATGTTCATATTTCCCTCCTCCACCAACATGATGACTTTACAGTTGCTATTTTAAGTTGGCCTGAGCGGAGGAATCTTACAAATAAGATGAAAACTTGACTTAGAAATGGATGTAATTATTTTCTCAAAGGATATTCTATTGCCTTTGTAAGTGAAAGAAAATCGAGATCAGATATTGTTTTATGTTGATTATCAAAATGACATTCATAGACATAAAGGATAGTTTAATGGACTAGCACAGGGAATTTTGTTTTGCTCCTTTTCAACTCTGATTTTATGAATAATGTGCTGACTTTTCATCTGTCAGGGAAATAAGTCTCTCACAGTTAACTCTGTCAAAAGTGTGGCTGCATGAGAGGAATGTCTGTAGTATTATCTGTCTCTATTTCACAGCTCATTAGAAAAAGTAGTTAACATTCACACTGGTGGTTTGTCAGGGAAAAGAAGTTGGTAGAATTTTTTCTCTATTGTAGTGCGAGCTCCAAGAAAACTGAACAGCTCAGCCGCGTATATACTCAGTCTGGTGAAATTCTATTTTGTTCTTATTGCAACAAATACCAAAACTAATAAAATGTGATGCTACACCAAGTGTAGCCTGTGTTACCGAAGCCTGATATATTTATTGTTCTGTGCCGTAGAGCTCCATCATTGTTCAAAAATGTACTTAAAATCATTACACTGTTGCTCTCAAGCACATGTTCCCTGAGTACCATGAATGTGAATGATATTTATTTTGAGTAAATCCCATTTACACAATCTTGCTGCCCGCCAAAAACCAATGGGCTCGAAGCCAGAGCAACAGATAGGCAGGGGAACCAACAAAATATTGAGAGACGGACCAACACAATGTTGGATTTGGTCTTCTCCCAGGATTTGTAGGAAATTATAGAAATACAGGATATCCTTAGCCTTGTAATAATAATAATACATTCAATTTATATAGCGCTTTTCTATCTTATCTTTTCAACCTTGATTTTAAACTATGAAGTCCTCATGGTGATTTGGGTCTTATGGTACAATGCTGATCATTGGAGGTGACTTACCGTGGTGTCATTGGTCGTGACATAGAGCAGGACTTCAGAACCCCGGCCGTTCACATATCTGTAGCAGTTCCACACACATGCTATCAGGTAGGCCTAATGTTGGATAGAAAAAAATCACAGGTTAATCCAAAAATTAGGGATTACTTAGCAACACCAACTTTGCTATTTATGGTAGTGGTGATAAATACATGCAACGCACGACTCGATGTTAGCCATGTTAGAGACATGGATCTATGGAGGGCAATGTTAGACTATCCACCAATTTAGCAAATATTTTCTGGATTGACAAACAATTTCATAGAGACATATCCCTCCTAGAATACATTGTTAAACATTTCGTGATTACATAACTTTACAGCACCAAATACATGGTTTGTGACTCAATACCAACTGTATACAGTCTATGCTATAGATTAGCTGTATTTTTCAGCTAATTAGCTAATATTACAATGCTAAATAAGATGGAGAAAGTGGTAAAGATTATAACTTATTTTTCAACTGTTAACATGTTAACATGCTAATGCTAGCATTTAGCTCAACGCCATGCTAACTTAAGTACAGCCTTACAGTATAGTTTGGTATATCTAATCATTACGTCTTTAAAGATATTGTAGGTTCAGGACAACCGCTTTTCCTCTCTATTATGTCATTTAATTAGGTTATCTGTAGTGTAAGTGTAACATTGCTGTTCTCATATGGCCCCTTAATACAACCCAGTCTCACGCCATTTCGTGTTATAGTCACGAAATTAATTTAATCTATTGATTCGTGTTCACCAACACGATTTTCGCATTTTTTTCGTGTCACAGAACGATTTTAAAAGCAATGTATTTCTATTGGTAGTATGTTTCGTGGGGTCTTGGAATACCAGAAGCTGTGTGGTTCATAAAAACATGTTCTTACTCAATATCTTACCCTAAGCCTAACCCCTTTTATTTTAAATTGTATAATGTCTGAGTTTTTGTGCCGTCAGTGAGGAAAAGAAATGGCTCAGAGCCTCAGAATACTGAAATCTGTATTTTATGTCATCTTTTTTTCCTTCTAATTTGTTATTATTTGGTGCAGGCACGAAACATACTACCAATATAAATACATTGCTTCTAAAATCGTTCTGTGTCAGAATACTGAAATCTGTATTTTTTTTTATCTGTTTTTCCTTCTAATTTGTTATTATTTACATTGCTTTTAAAATCGTTCTGTGTGACACGAATAAAATGGCGAAATCGTGTTGGTGAACACGAATCAATAGATTAATTTCGTGACTATAACACGAAATGCCGTGAGACTGTGTTGCTTAATAACATATACAATATGTAGCATGTGATAAAAGTATGTTTTTCAAAGAAACTCACACCAACATTGAAGATAACTCACATAAAATACAGCTAATAATCCAATCATCCCATTGTTGCATTCAGACAGCGTTTTCAGGTTCTATCATAGAGCTGTACATGTAGCAGAAACAACTATAAGTTGTTCCCTGTCATCCAGAAATCATGTCTCTCAGCAGGACACTTTCTACTGGAATTCCCCGGACAAACACAGCACCATCTGGTAGATCCATCACAAACCAAAGCCAGACTGAGCTCTCTAACGTGTTTGATAACCCAATTAGAAGCCACCTAATGCTCTGATGGCTCTGAAGTTATTTCAGAAGCCTCCACAGGAATCTGCAGAGATATTTACAGCAACAGAGAACTCAATTTAGCTCTCAGTCCACTGCGAATGAAAGTGTGATAATGACGCTCACTGTGCAAAGCAAATTCCTTCTGTCAGAAATGGTCACCTTGTCCATTGAATTAAAAAAATAAATGTTAGGGTTTTAGCTCATTTGGAACTAGTGCACCAGGACTTTCAAGCGAATATACCCTCCTTGTTTCTTGTTATTCTGAGTTTGTATCTTATGGTTTATTACACTTATTGTATGTCACTTTGGATTTATACATCTCTTTTTTTTTCTTTAACCAGACACTTTAACTACGCTGCTATGGACAATCATTTGCACTACTGTACATATTTTTACTGTAATATATTAATCTTCATCCGTTTACAAGTGGATGTTATTTTTGTTTATTTACTGACTTTTATATATATATATATATATTTATAAGTGGGTGTACAGGAGAGTATGTATGTATATATACACATATATGTATGTATGTATATTTCTTTTAGATATTTAATCTGTATTCCTCGGGATTGTGAAAAACAGCATTTCGATCTCACACAGAAGATTGACAATAAAGTTGACTATGATAAAAGCAACAGCTAAATTCAATGTATTAAAAATGACTGAGACACTCTAAACAAAACAGCTGCTGTTTAAATAAGCCCTTTGTCCTATAATCTCAGATTTAACATTATATTTCACATAATACAGTGGGTTGTTAGCAGAGCTGCATCATAACTTAAATAACATATCTGATAGCTTTACTGGAGCTTCTGCAGTTAGTGTTAGCAAAGTGATTGCTTTGAGCTAAATGCAAATGTCAGCATGCTAACATGCTCACAATCACAACACTAACATGTCACTGTTTAGGCGGTAATACATTCACCATCTTATATTCATCTTATGCAGTTATTCGTCATAACTCAAAGTATAGGTCAGATAGAACATTTGACTTGATGATGGCGCTAGATGAAAGGTCAGGGATCCCTAGAGTAACAATGTTTTTGTGAGGAGGTCATTCATGTGTCAGTGGTATTCCTGGTAAATCTTGCATTCAAAAAAATACAAAACTTTCAAAATAAATTTGAGCACTACATACAGGTATATCAATATAGAAAGTTACATTAAAAGCAGGCGCCTCTGTCAAGGTTGAAATAGACATAGTTTCTCTTGTAAGAAAATGTGTTGTGAAATATAACCCTGGCAGGTCTGTAAACGACTCTACGTGTTCTTAAGTGTATGAAGAAGTTTTAAAAAGAGAGAAAGAAAACCTTACCTTGAAGAATAGAATAGAGCCGATGAAGATCAGCACGATGAGGGCCAAGCAAATATTACTGAGAGCAGCGATCTCCTCTTTGTAAGGGAAGTTATCAGGCTGCAAAGGAGTCCGAAAAAAAACAGAGCTTATTTGAGGTGCAAGGAGCATTAGATAGTAGAGGCATTTGTAACTGTACATCCATCAGTACTGAACTGAGAACATTTCAGAACCTACAAAAGCCTTTCTAAACCATAAAGTTCAATATTGTGCTGTTAAACATCACTGACTTCACTTTCAAGAGGAAAACACTTGAAGTCTCGTACCAGTTGCTGCAGGTAATCCTGTATCGTGTTGGGGTAAACCACAACGCTGATCGCCACCAGGGTGTTCAGAGCAAAGTCGAATATTTGGTAACAGAAAAATGGGATGATCCAGGCGGGATGCAGCTGAAACAGAGATATGTCTTTTAGGTATTTAAGTTAGATATTGTGGACATCAATCAGAGCTAGAACTGGGAGATTACACTATGTTTAAAATACAAATATTTGTATTGTTTTAACACAGTAGATTTAGCCTTATTTTAATCAGTAGCATTGTAAATAGTATTATGAAGAAAAGCAACAACACTTTCTATGACACCAATGTTTATAATGCAATATTAACATACTTTAATGCATTGTATTTGGCATATAACACTTTATTATTAGAGTTAAAAGCATTCATTGATATATTAAAAGTAATTGAAGTAAACTTTGACCACTTATAGTGGTATACCCAGCTTGTAATGAATTAAATCAGCTTACGCCGCACGTTGTAAGTATGTTTATAATGCTTTATCTACATTGGTGTCATAGAAGGTGTTACTGAAATCCTAATGACTCATCAGTTTACCTTGTATGCACCGTATGCTGCCATCCCACATATCAGTATCATCAGCACAGAGATCGCAGAGGCAATGCACATGCCTGCAGCAGAGGGAGGGGGAGTCAAAATCACAAGGCACATTCAATGACAACATCAAGTTCTCTGAAATACAAATTCTGTACAAATCAAATCAAATCAAATCAGGTTTTATTTATATAGCACATTTTAAAAACGATTTTTGGTCGAGCAAACATGCAAATAAGAAGATAAACAACAAGCTGCATTATGTCAACCAGACATGATATTACCCTCCACTCTGTCATTCGCTCCATGCCAACCCAGCCTCAAACCAACCCTGCATAACATTCTGTTACATAAGAATAGCGCCGTGCAAAACCAAAACACAGTGATTAGGGTGTAGTGGAAGAAATAGGGAGTTGAATTCCATGCCCATTTACAATAAACTGAAAATCAAAGGATGAATCGCATTTTCTCTGAAAAGGGCTTGAAAGTGTATAGAAAGGCAATATAAAACGATTTTCTCAGCCTCTAATTTAGCTATGTTTAAAGTGGGCAGAAAGAGTTAGAGACCTCTGGAAAATCTCAAATGTTTATGGAAAATGTCATGATTATAAAAAGAGATGGTTTTAACATGCAATAACTGAGCTGTGTGTCCACTTTAACTTTGGAAAGAGACATGCTAGCTGTCCACTCTTTATGCTAGCTAAACTAAGCTAATCGCACCCTGATCTAGTACATCACAAATCTGTGCCTATGACTTACGAACAGGTGAAAAAAGGTTCGAATAATCAGTCAGAATAATCCTTCCCTCACTTATTCTTTATCCTTTAAACAAGTGGGTGGAAAAGTTTTGGCAGGTGATTTATTTTGAGGAATTTGTGAGTAGACCACTTCCCCACGTTCTAAATACTTGGTAGCTTGCTAACAAACAATATTTGCACCTTGTATTTAGAATTCATGGAGAGATTAAAACCTGAGCAAAACGTTTATGTTTGTAGGTCTCTTTAGACTTAGGACATGGGGAAATGGGTCACGTCAGCCCACTGTGGCCCAAATTAATATTACAACAACATACATGTCTACTTATTTCCCTGTTTTTACAGATGGACAGAAATAGATTAGAAAACATTTTTTCCACTTCCAAGGAATTTAAATTCAACACAGGACTTCCCTCTCTGGGCTTCCGTAATCTACCTCAACATACAGATATATTTTTTTATGTTAGATTTTTTGTGAAATGGTCGAACATTCTATGAACAACACAACGGCATGATAAAGCAGAAATAGCATAGCACAGAGCAGCGTTATGTCCTCTTTTCAAGATTCAATGCCCTAACCTACTGCTGTGCATGTTTTGATGTCGTATTGAATTATGTATTTGAACCATTGTTCCAAATGACTAGTGCCTCTGTCAACAAAAGCACAGCATCAAACACATACAGTATTTTGCTGAAATAACTTCTAACAATTAGCTAAAATAAGCCATTTTTGAGCCCTGTAAATGCAGCTGTTGCAGCAGCACAAAATAAGCAAAGATGAATGGAGACAAAAAAAAGAGGTATATACAAACAGTATAAGAGCAATTTAGGAAAAAGTTAAAGGGTAAAAAATATAATCTGGGATAAAGTATTGATATACAGTATTGTCTGTTTAAATATAGCAAAACCAAAATGAGTTTTGAAATTGTTACTGTGATAGAGACTTTTTAATGTATTAAGTATCTGTTTTAGTATGACGTGTGTACCTGCACCAGGAATTGCAGATGGAAATAAGCATAAATCATGTCTTGGATTAATACATTGTGATGCATGTTCCTTGTTTAAAGGTAGGGTAGGTAAATTTGAGAAACCGGCTCGAGATCGCTAGAATTTGAAAATCTACGGCTTCCACAGATGACATTTTTTTATGGATTTTTTGTCAAAGCACTTAAGATATTCATTGCTATCGGGATGTTAAGAGCATTCCATGTAATATAACAAAAAGTGTATCTCGAGCCGGTTTCTCAAACTTACCTACCCTACCTTTAATGAAGACAAAAACCAATAATAAGTGTCCTATTTTGATGATTATCTGAATCACTTTCCAGCAAAATTAGCACCATAATTCCAACTGGAGTGGCAAAAATTCTAAAATGTAATGTAAGAACTGTCACTACAGCTTGACGTTTGTCAAATCTGAATATTTAACAGAGCAAAATGAAAACGTAACATTATAATGTTCCTTTTATCATGAACAGAAGTCATTTCATAGTGAGTGTGTTGATGCAGCGGGCGGCCCAGCCTGCAGAGCAGGACCACAGGACGCCTAATCCCTTGGAGCGGTGACAACAGTCAACCCATCACGCTGCTGTCTGTCAGACTGTTCCACTTACACCTGCTGTTAAGAAGGCTTTCCAAACGCTCGCCAAACATGGACATTAGGCGTGTCTGTGGCTTTGATTTATAAGAAGTGCTGACCGTCATCTAGACCAGGGGTTCCCAACCTTTTTTCCCAAGAGTCCCCCCAAATGAGTCTAAAAAAAGTCTAAATATGATATTTGGCCTCAAATCATCTGAGGCCTGGCGCCCCCCCTGTGATCTTTGGCTCCTCCCCAAGGGGGGCGCGCCCCCCAGGTTGGGAACCACTGACCTAGACTAATGTGTGAGGACACTTTAATCACACAATAAATCATTCTATTAGTCAGTTGACAACTCTATTGGGGTTTTCCCCCGCAGGCAGAGATTAAGTCATCTGTCACGCTCAATTATAGGAGATTAAGCTTCAGGTAGAATAGAAACACTGTAGAGGTCAGTGGAGTTTTCTTACAGAATGCAAACACACTGTTTACCTGAGATTTTATGAAACATAAATGTTAAGATATTGGAATACAACGATAGTATTCAGCTGATGGTGGTATTGTGAGATTACGCATTCACTGTAAAGCACAGACTGGCTTTATGGGATACTTACTGGCATCATCCATGACATCCAGGTCATTAGCCAACTCAGCACTGGTCAGGTGGTACTGCTCAGGATCACTGAGCGCTGTGAGCAGGATGAGCAACACCACGGCATTGATGAGCTTAGGGACAGAAGACATAGTGGTGAAAAAAAAGTCAACAAATGGAGGGAAATACAGACAGAATGCAAAAGGGAGGAGCTGAAATTGTTCATGAAATGTAAAAATATAAACATTTTCATGAGCTGCAGGGAAACAAAACAAAATCCTTAGTGGAGATAGTGTAGCAATGTTAAATGACATACAGTCAAGCTCTAAGTCCAGGCACATACATTGGCTTTGGTGTTGGTCTGGCCGACGCAGTTCATTATGCAGATGACTCATACATCCCCATTGATCAGATGAATGTAATGGAAAATTCTCAGCCGTTGATAGGGGTGACACAAAACCTGCTACCTGAAGAGGCCAACTTCTAATTTATTCATAGGGAGCGGAGAAAGGATTTTTCCACAAGTGGTGTTTGGTTTAGCTAACCGTCTCCTGCTCATTCAGTTAAACAGAGGAAGATAGCCACAAGTGAGAATTGAATATAAACAAGATTGCACATATATTTTCATGTTTTGATCTAGCAAAATATCCACAGTATGAGTTTTTCTAATTATAAATATTCGTGGTCTTAATTAGGTAAATTGTGTATACATCATTGATGCAAGAGGAACATAAACCAATGAATAACCCACTGAATAATGCCCATTTAGAAATGAAGAACCATCATATAAAGGCCTCTATAAGTCAAATAGCTTAGCTAACAGTAAAATAAAATGGTATGCTTTAAAGTTTGCAGTGGGCAAAGAAGCAGTACAATTAATTAATTTTCCTAAAATACCCTAATAATATAGGTTTGAATCTTTCTTAAATTCCCTCATAATAATCATAAAATGCAGCACACGGTATGAAGGCTGTCTGATGTGCTCCTGCTCCTACTTTCCCTGCTCTGTCTCTGCAGGGCTCCAGGAGAAGTGACAGCTGAGGGGCTCACCATGTACCAGACCCCCAGGATGATGGTTCCAGTGCGGACATGGCAGCACAGGCAGCAGCTGGTGGAGAACCAGCGGTCCCACGGGGAAAGCATCATGTTGTCTGCGCGTGTGCTAACAACTGCGCGAGCGTCAACGAACGATGTCGGTGTTCAAAATGGAAGGAGCTCGCGCGTTGTGCCTCCGGTCGGTCCTCTGTTGACGAACGGGATCCGGCTGCTTCTGACCTCACCGTGAGCGGCTTAACAAACGTTAGTCAAGCTAACGTCAAGGCAAATATGACTTCCGATTTCACAATAAAACGATTTTCTATGTACGAAGTAGGATACGAAGAAGACAATAAACACGTTGTAGATCAATGTTTTATGCAAATATCCTTTCTTTCTCTCCTTAATGATCGAAATGCAGTTTATAAATTCAGAAGATGTAGCCTACCATTATTAGTTTTTTTTAATTACTTTTGTCTACAATGTGGCTTCTAATGACTATTTGATAATCACATAATTTGTCAATTGTGTTCTCAATTAATCGATTAATTGTTTAGTCTACAATTGTTTAAATTATATCAGAATCCAGGCGACATTTTTTTCCGTTTCGTTTCAAAAAGCCAAACTATTCCTCTTAGATAATGGCTGTTTAACAGAGGCACAGTTATCTACCTTTAAATTCAGACACTTTACTTTGTCAAACGGGCTTAGAAAAATATTTTAAAAAGGGTATCAATATAAAACACCAATAAGTGTGTATTAGGCCTATATATTTTTTTCAAACAAACATTTTAAATCACTACATTGTTGTATTTGAGCGTGTCTAACAAAAAGGCTAAACTAATGCTATTTATTTTTATAATTTCCCTTGCAATGATTTCAGATTTAACTTTCCTAAGGATTTTTAATTGTCTGTGCTAATTTGCCTCTGCATCTTTTTTAAGTCAAGTGCTTGACAAGACTACAATATATAAGCTACCAGGGGCGCCGCCAGGGATTTTGGGCCCCATGAAAAGATATCACATTGGTTACTTACATTTTTTTTTTCTTAATGTTCTAAAATTGTTTGGGCCCCTGTCAGTCACGGGCCCTTAGAATCGTCCTAACTTTTCACCCCCCTAACATGAATATTTTTAGAATCGGAGGGATGAAACCCTCTTTAATGGTTACACATGCAGAGCACACAGCACACACAGTGAAATGTGGCCTCTGCATTTAACCCATCCTAGTACCAGGAGTCTAGTAGGCTAGGAGCAGTGGGCAGCTATTGTACAGCGCCCGGGGAGCAATGGGAGTGGGGGGGGGGGGGAAGGGCGATGTCCGGTGCCTTGCTCAAATATTTACTAACTGTCATTAGTAAGGCTTTCCAGTTTCTCCATTATCATAGCATTTCAGTATATTCTGAATTCACCCACCATTGTCTGACTCTGCGACGCGATCATGTAACCACAGCCAAAAAGAGTCACTTTCAGACTGTCCTGTGCTTCATGCAATATTTACACATTTGATCATTTTAACACAACCTTTTGCTGATTCAACACATTATTAGTCATGCCAGGGCTTCTGTTTTTTTTAATTGTATACCATAAGTCAAATTAAAATACTGTTTTAATGTATATAACTCTTTGTTGTTATATACAGTCTGTATATGCCTCCTCTCTTCCAAACATCTATATCAAACATTCCCGTGTGTCCAGGGCCGGCCCTAGACTTGTGGGGGCCCTAAGCGAGCTTTGGCTTGGGGGCCCCCCTCACTCTAGCGCAGGGGTGGGCAAACTTTTTGGCTCGGGGGTCACTATGAGTTTTAAAATTTGACAGACGGGCCGGGCCAGTAGCAGATCGGTGAAAAAATATTTAGCTGTCCACTCCTCATTAAACACTCGGCACTCATTGTCGAGTTTTCTTTTCTTTGGTCCACTCATTGTTACAGATGCAGATTCAAAGGTGAATTAGGTTCAAAGGTGAGTTATTGCGTCATCGTTTGCGTCATGACGTAACCGTTTACGTGCCTTCTTATGACCCACACAGCGTTTTACGTCGCTGATTTTCTCCGCAACACCGCTCACAACAACATCAATAGAGGACTGCGTCGGGTCGTTTTTAATCATACGAAGCCAGATTAAATTAAAGAACTACTTCTCCAACCTTATACCTTTCTCCAGAGTGCCGTGGTGCATTGTTTATTAATGTGGTTCAGCTGCATTACCGCCCGCTGCAGCGCTGCTCTTCTACCGGAGTTTATTCTACTGTTAACTCACGGCAGCGGCCGCTGTAAAGTATTCACTGTCCGACTGTCACACAAGCAGCTGATAAATATCCCCCATCCCCATAAGTGAATGTGTTTCAGTATGAATTGACGCTGTTTGGCATCACAACGCGGTTATGAAAGTTTCTCTGGCATTCTACTACAGGTGATGTTAGCATAGCAACCGAAGCTAATCAGACTATCTCGTATCATATTGTGGCATAAACCGTTTTCTACACAAAATAAACAGAATCACACGTTGCCTGACTTTATATAAGTGTTTTTTATAAGTGTGTGGTCGCGTTCTAGTCACTTTGCTCAGTGATACTGCTTGTTATAACTTGTATTCGCTGTACTGTACTAACCGTGCACTGTTATTGCTCAGGTTAATCTCGACCCCCTCCAATGTAAGCGTGACGTATTTGGTTCTTAGATCTTGCCGGGTTGCCGACTCCAGCAAAGGTCATTTGTGTCTAGAGTGCGCCATCTAGTGGGATCCACTGAAATGCCGGGTATTGCAGGAAAAAGGCCAAATGAATGCGGTCTTTACTATAATTTGGACAATTTTGTACCAATATTCGGCGGGCCGGATTAAAAAGCCCAACGGGCCGTATATGGCCCGCAGGCCTTAGTTTGCCCATGCCTGCTCTAGCGCGTTCTCACTTCACACAACACAGAACCAACTTTTGTCTTATGATGTTAGCATAAGCACACATATTGTATAAATAAGCATGTAAACACTGTGGACCTAACATCCTCTAGGGGGGTCCTTACCTCCTCTAGGGGGGTCCGGGGGCATGCTCCCCCGGGAAGATTTTTTTTTAAATATTGAAGTTAAAAGCATCAATCTGGTGCACTTTGAGAGCAAAATTAAGAGATCTATGGATACATCTCTCAACACCCATATGAAACTGTAAACAGATTTTTCTTTATGGATATTTTACAAATCACTCCCCTTTTAAACTGTATTCTTGTTTTGTCATATAGTATTTCATAACTGTTTTTCATTTATTCTCTCTGGCTGTCCATCTCATAATGTTCACATAGAAACTAGCTCTTAATAGGAATATCATTCAGAAGAATTATAATTTCATGCAAAAATCTGTCACAAAAAGAGGTTGCACATTTACATTCAGGTGTTGTTATGGCAACGTCAGTGGCCAAACAGCCACATTTACTGCTGCAAATACGTTCAATCATGCTGTCGACACGTAAAGCAGTGGCAACTATGCCACCATTTCAGCTGACTTTTTCTCAGAAATACTGTCACATATCCATATATTTCAGTGCTAGGTTGATGCTTAGCTAAGCTAACTATGAAACACTTTAACTGACAGGACTCAGGATCAACTGTGTACTGTAAGGTAGCTTCTAGCTTCATGTCGAACAGTAAGTCAACATTTCCCAGAGAGCTTTCTTTGAAATCACCAGGTAACGCTAAAAAACATTACATTTAGATTGTATGACAAAGTGTTTATTTAATATATCTGGCTAGCTATAGCTACTTGCTAACGGTTTAGCTTACCCCCGCGATTCAAAGTAACGTCAACGTAGCTGTAATTTCTCCTGGCTCAAGTGCTGGCTCTGGGGTTGTTGTGTGAACCACCACTTGAGAATTGTCATCTTTTTTAAGAACAAATGTTCTTATGTCCATCTTCAAAAACTCTGAGTCTGAGACTGACAGTTTATTTTAAACATTGTCACAGCTCACAGGATAGGTACCTGTCAGCCAATAAGACAGATGTTTATTTCCATTCAACTCTCTGGTTGGTCTGGTGTCTTGCCTCTGTTGCATTCACTGAACACGGGAAATTACAATCCTGCCGTCCTCTCTAGTGTCATGATGAGGTTCAGGTAAAGCACGGTTAATGTATTATATGATTGACTCAATAATATAATACATGACTTTGAGAGTAGGCAATCTAGGCATATTAACAAAATTAATTAAACATACTTATCACGGCAACGGTGTACTGAGATAAAAAACGGTGTACTGAGATAAAAAAAAAAAGATTTTTTTTTTTTTCAATTTTTGCTAGGGGGCCCTGTGGGGCCCTAAGCGGCTGCTTATGTCGCTTAATGGGTCGGGCCGGCTCTGCGTGTGTCAGCTTCTCGAGCTATCCTAGCCTATGTGTTACAGTCGTTAAATGGAGACTATATTATTTTAAAAGCCAATTTACTGATTTTAACTGTGTTTTAATAGTTTTTGTTTGCTCCCAAGACCGTTGGTCTTTTATGCTAAAAAATATTGTCATCAGCAATGCCCTTATTCCCCCATGGGACTAAATAGTAGGTTATTTTATTCTGCCATACAGGAATTTATCAAAAGAAAACGTTGATTTAATGAAGAAAGAATGTTATACCTCCAACAACAGTTTGCCTCGTTTGTGCTTGATTAAAAAATAAGCAACGCAAAATTATGAACATAAAGCAATGTTTAATTTCTTTAAGCCATGTCGTTGCCTTATTTGTTCTTTACTGTTAACACTCTGCATACAATGCACACAAGTAAATATTTGACCCAGCGCTCTTATTTTGAAGGCTGAACTGCTTCCTGTGTGACTCTGGTGTTCTTGATGTAGTTATCAGTCCTGCTGATGATACACACTGGAACAGACTAATAGGATCAAATGCCATGATGTAACCCGTCATTTCCAGAAAGTTATAGAAAGGAAGCTTAACTTGAATACTTTACATTTAGAAATGACAAGTGGAATCGTGGCGTGGTTTGGGGCTTCCCTTTAAATAATAACAAATATAATATATATTCTAAATACATTTAAAAACCCTTTTTAGGGCATTTTACACCTCATTCACCTTTTTCTTCTCACATTGTTCAGTCCGGACCCAATTCTGTCTTTTAAAGTATTTGTATAAGTCCACGACTTCTTAATGGCAGAATTCCAGTGACATTTTCAGACCGTCTATGAAATGGAGATGCTGATTTAATTTTCAAACAGGACTTGGCACCTGCCCACACTGCCAACAGTAGCCTACCATGTTTAATGACCATGGATTTACTGTGCTTGATTATAGCAAACTCGTCTGAGCTGAACTCTATTGAGAATATATGGGATATTGTCAAGAAGAAGATGAGAGACACCAGACCCAACAACGTAGACGAGCTGAAGGCCACTACTGAAGCAACCTGTGCTTCCATCACAGCTCAGCAGAGCCACAGCCACATGGATGCAGTAATTCAAGCAGGCCCAACAGTCATCGGAGCTAAAACATGAACATACTTTTTAGAAGGCCGATATTTCTGTATTAAAAATCAGTTTTTGTATTGGTCTTATGTAATATTCTAATTTTCGGAGGTTCTGAATTTTTTGATTTCATTAGCTCTGTAATCAAGCTTAAAAATTTTAAAAGCTAGAAATAATTAACTTTGTGCGTAATTAATCTATATAATATGAGTTTCACCATTTAAATTGAATTACTGAAATTAATTACATTTTCCACCCTATTTTAATTTATTGAGATGCACCTGTATATTTGTACTGCAGCAGGTCTCTCCCTTCACTGTCACCTTGCATCTGACCAGAGGGGACAGTAAGCCCGCCAAAGGTTCTGCGGGACCTGCATTCTGATTGGCCACGTCACTTCTGTGTCGAATACTCTGTTTTGATTGGCTTAGGAACTTCTGTTTTGTTTATCCTTTGAGAACTGGGTTACGCAAAAAACACATTACAATTGTACATTTGAAAAGGGCACTTTTCTAATAGGAGGGCAAAAGGGCAGGTGCCCTTTGGTGTCTGTGCACGAGCCTGCAGCCTGATATCACACGTGTGTCTTAGGGGCTTTAAAGTGTGTACAGCATATGATATCCTCCGTCTTAAATCCTTCGCAGAATACAAGATATTACCATTAAAACATAGGGAATACAAATTACAATGTGATTGTATATTTAAAAAAAGGAAAGATGGATCCAGGAGGGTGTAAACAAATCATCCATGGCAACTGCCTTGTTAGGCACTGATTGTTAGTTTAATTTTCTGATAATAGTAAATAGTTGTTCCTTTGGATGACTGTTATGTTGATTGTCCCTCCAGTAGTAGACTCAACCTATAAAAAGAAGCCCAAATATAGAAGAACTGGACTTAATTTAGTCTTTTTACATATGGCTTTAGCTTTTCTTTTATTACAAACATGTTTTACAAAAGGTTTTGAAGACTTTCGAATCAACCACAGGTGGAAAATCATGAAGAGGCTGATGACACTGCAACGGTACATCTATGCTCAGAGGCTCAGGCCACAAAGCTGTCACAGATAGTCAAAACAGCAGGGACACACCGCAGTACAACATCAGGGACAAACCAGAGAGACCGCGGAGATTGAAATGTTGTAGTCACAGATAAGAATGCAAAAATACAGAACGGGCATGATTCCCTAGTCCTCAGCCCACTAATGCTTATATCTCATTTATGTCAGTAACACCCTGTTGATGTGAAGTTAACATTTGATCTCTCAGCTCTTTTCAACCAACAGCACTCACTGTGCAATCATGACGCACAACTTAAAATAAAATAAGACTGCATATAGCAAAGGCCAGTTCAACATCATGGACCATTGTTGAGTGACCTGAAGCATGGCAACCGTCTTCATTCCCTACACAGTAAACTCCAGTTGTTAGCCACCACAACATCAAATTTTTAAACATGATCAGTATTTTTCTATGTCTAATTACTACGATACAGCTCTCTCAATCAGTTATTTGATTCATGGAATTAGAAGACAGAATCAAGAATATCAAATGCATACTTCAAAATCATTAACACCGTGTTAGGTTTAAAGATCCATCGGCCGACACTCGACGTGTATAAAAGTGGTTTCATTTCCAGACAGGTTGTAGGTTGAAGCCCATCATGGAGACCTTGGTTCTGCTAGTGTTCTCGTCACAAAAGGTGTTGCATAAACGGGATATGAAGTCTTTTGCATACAGAGGTCTGCAGAGTCGATTCAGTCTCATGTCTCTCTCCTCGCCTTCTTCTTCTTAGCCGGCTTGGGCGCTTGGCTCTCCTCAGGTTTGTCTGAGGAAACGAGAAGGGAGGAGGTGATTAGTCAGAATTCTAAAGCATGTGATTTACAAATGGTGAACAGGTCGTTTTAGCTCAGTTCTTGTAATTGTCATAAAGGGTTAATCTAATATAATGGCTCACAGATGAGGTTCAGGAAGAGATGACAAAAACAACAAAGCCAAGAAATGAAGGACTGTTTAAAGGGGTCCTATTGTTCTTTTTGGAGTTTTCCCTACTCTAAGGGTGTAAATGTGCTCACTTTGTTGTGTAGGAGCAGAAAGGCCCTTCTGCTTGACAGTGGTCTCTCCTTCAGTTGGCTTCTGTGGCACTTGTGTGACAGGGGGTTTCTGGGATATTTTTTCCTTCACTGGTTGCTCCACTCTCACCTAGAGGAAAAAGGAGTTCGTGTTGAAAGAATGAATCAGATCAAATCCATAAACAAATTGCAGTTATGTGGCAAATGTACATATACATTATTTATTGCAATATGGCTGAATGATTCGTTTTATGTACACTTCTAACAGTATTCACACCCTCTGGGATTCTTTATATTAAATATGTGTTACGGCTGTATGTATTCCCCGTTTCTTTTTCCCTTTGGTTCCTCTACCCAGGTGTGCTGCATTGCTGTAACGAGGTTCAGACGAGGTGCACCTGGAGAAGGAAGTCATTAAAAGCTCCAGTGCAGCAGCAGAAGAGGGGGAGGCCTCTGGTGTGGGTACTGCTGTGTTTCATTGTACATGTTGATTATAATAAATCCTATGGATTTGATGATTTTAAAAAGGTGTCTTGTGTTCTATTTGGGTTAGTGGTGGAATTTTGTTAGCCCCATAGGGCCATTTTAAGGATGGGGCGTAACAATATGACACAACGGGAAGCGTTCTGCAGTAAAATGCCCTTCTAATGAGCTGCTCTGGAGTCAGATGTTAGCTCCACTGACCTCGACAGCAGCTGCTTTGACAGGCTGGACGGCAGCAGCACTCTCCTGCTTCTTCATCGAGGCTGCAGGCAGAGCCTCCTTCTCTGGCTCCTCCCCCTGCACAGGACACAAGCAAAGTTATACACACTGCAGAGAATTCACAGGAATCTTTAGAAAGGTCATGCAAACCAATTAGGAGCGATAAGAGAATAGACTTTAATAACGTTTCTTGAATGTCAAGAAGAATAAAAGTCAAATTAGCAAAATAATATGAATGGATACAGATACAGGTTAGGTAGACCCTGTTACATACAAATGTAGTGTTTATTAGTCAGTCATACTTCATTTGGGTTTCCTTGATTGTAATTGTACATTTGGAAAACAATGACTTAGGTCACTTGATTTCTGTACAGACAATGTTCTGTTGTCATTACAGGGTATATGCAGGAATCCTGAAGTCAAATGGAATACCTTTTAAGACCTTTTTTAAGACTCTTTCCATACATTTAAATTTGTAAGACCTCATCGCAACTTTGAGATAGCACAACTAAACAGTTTGTGATAACTCCTTATCATAATTCAGATAGAACAAAGCACAAGAGAATGAATTGTGTGACCAACCCAATGCATTGATTTAGGCATTGTTCCCAAGAGATAAAACAGACAGACTACTGAAGCCTCCTCTCCACATGAACTTCAACCTCTCTGTCAAGGTCAGGTTTAATGCAGTATGCTGCTTTGTTGCTTCTGTAGACACACTTTGTGCTCTTTCATTCCAGTAAAACTCCTCAGAAACCATTAGACCAATAAACAAAACAATTGACAAAACTTTCAACTATGAAATATATTAAACTTTGGTGAGCTTTAGCGGGGTAATGCCATATAGGAGCTCCCTCACAAATACCCAGGGGTTAAATTGGGCCGGGGCTGTCCGGGGCCCCGGCACATAGGACGATGCTCTGACGTCATCACCCTCGCACATTTGTCATATGTTTACAAAAAACCGATATATATGTTAAGACTTTTCTCGTTCTTAATATAGACTATATTTAGGGTCGATATGAGTTGACTTTACTTTAAAATAGCAGATCTCTGTGACCGGATATAGTTTGGCTTAGTGAACGTGTGTCTCTTCCTTGAAGGAGCAGCATCGCCCGGACTCCGCGGCTCCTCCTCCGTGCAGAGAGTCTGCACTGCAGCGGTGTGTGTCAGCGACGTGCAGTCAGGGGAGGCACGGATTGGCCATCGGGAGATTGGCCATCGGGAGAGTCGGGACTTAAACACCGCTGCTTTCTGGCTAGCACTTAGCATGTGGGACCGGACAGCTTTGATCCCCATCGACAGTGGCGATTCTAGAGTCTGTGGGGGCCCCTCGAACCAGCTTTCATCACCATCAGTGGCGCCCCAACACACTCTTTCCCCCCCCCAAGCGGAGCAAGGCAACGAAACTTAAAATAAGAAGCAGCATTTTACGGCGAACTATGCATGGGGCCGCCTTGAGGGGGTTTCCCGACATGTCGTTGCAGTAAATTAAAGGGTGTTTCATGTTGTCGTTGCTGTGGACCTTCTTAATACCTTGGAAAATGCCATTTAATAGCCACCCTTGCACTAGCAGTTACCTGGCCAGCTGTTCCTCCCTCCTCAGCAGCCTTCTTCTTCTTCTTTTTCTTCTTCTTAGTTTTAGCAGCTCCATCACCAGCAGTCTCTCCCTTGTCCTTCTCATCTTCATCATCGTCCTGACAAAGAAAACACATCAATAAGACATTTGTCAGAAAATAGTTAAAAGATCTGCAAATGTTTTCTTTTACCAGATCTCCAAGATAAGCTCTTATTTACATTTCCTTCCATCTTTTTTAAGCACATTTTAATATAGCACTGTTTATTTTATTTTTTAAACTGTCGATGTGAATCAGGCAAAGTCATTGCATGGAGAGCATTGCTAGATTGATGAGATAAGCGATTCTCCTACTCTGGCGCCATCTGGTGGTAGAACCAAGAACAGCATTAACACAGCAATACATGCCACTATTCTTACATTTATGTTCATTATTATTATACAAATCCAATTGGTACAAAATGTCTATCATAAACAGAGTTTAAAAACACTGTTTGTACTGGGAAATGGTCTAATCTGTCACAATTACAGAACCCACCCGTGTGAGTGTATTGTGGGTGTGCAGGAGTTGTTATATTCCTCATTCTATCTAAATCATGACAAAGGCTGTTTGTGCCCCAGTCCAGGGTTCCTGCTGGTTTCGCCAACTCAAATTTAAGACTTTTTAAGACCACTTTGAATAGAATTTAAGACCTATTTCACGGCAAGAAAGTATGAAGGAAAATTGCTATGAAAGAAGAAATACGTCCCATAATTACTTACAAAGTAAATGTATTCATGTTCAACATAACATTACATGTTACTTGTTAAGAACAATGACTGAACATAGCAGCATAACAGTAAACAGAACTGTGTTAGCGTGTTACACAAAAAGTGTGTGTGTGTGTGTGTGTGTTAGGGCTGTGCAATTAATCGTATTTTAATCGCAATTACGATTTTGGCCTGCCACAATTACGAAAACAACATAATCGAAAAAAACGATTATTTAGCTTTGCTAGGTTGTGACAGTGCACTGCAACATATTTGATCTAATTAATTTTAGTCTAATTTATTTTTATTTCTCATATTTATATATGTTTAGTAGCTTGTGGAAGTGCGCTCCAAAATATTTGTTGATCTTGTTTATTGGTATTTATTATTTTGATATTATTTATTTAAATGCATCATTTATTTACTTAATTTTTGTATTGGTTTTTCAGTTGAATTATACGTTCAGGGTAATCAACAGTTAAAAAGATACTGTTCAAATTATTATTTGTTTTAAAGTTCAATAAATGGATGTTTTCAAAGTCAATGAATAATCGTATTTAATAATTGTGATATCAATTATTGACCAAAATAATCGTGATTATGATTTTTGCCATAATCGAGCACCCCTAGTGTGTGTGTGTGTGTGTGTGTGTGTGTGTGTGTGTGTGTGTGTGTGTGTGTGCGCGTGCGTGCGTGCGTGAGTGTGAGAGAGAGACAAGAGCTATATTCAGAGCTCTGCTGCCTTGGCTACAATCTTTCATCGTTGCCGTTGTATGATTGGTGTTTAGCTACGGTATTTAGCGTCTACAGTACCTCCGCTTTTAGGGTTGACGTAGACCCAAACGTCGCCCGGAGGTCCCCCGGTGTTGTTGCGGGAGCTGCTGCACTAGCTAACGCTACGTTAGCAAAACAAACGCTAATTTATTTTGCAAAAGGTGCAGCGGGCTTCAAACACGTTCCCCTCCACTGGTTTCAACCAAGCACTAAATTCGATGTTTTCCAACCAAATACGGTTGAACTTACACTTCCCCATATTTATTTGTAAGTAGATTTGAAGATACATGAGTTTCTGACTGCCGCTAGCTGAAGCTTGGTTGCTAGGTTACTAGCTGGGTGTTCTCCAATAAGGGGCCGGGGGAAACAAAGTTAGTGATTACTGGTTCCATGTTGATTTATTTCAATACAAATTGTTGGGGGGGAACTGAAAGGCTCTTACCGTACTGTGCACTTTGCAGCCCGGACATTTCCCCCAAAACACATTTAGACGCAACACAGAAGTACCTTTCAAATCCGATAATTTTTAAGACCTTCTAAATCATATTTAAGACATTTCTTATTTTTTTGGTCATATTTAAGACCTTTTTAAGGCCTTAAATTCAGATTATCAAATGTAAGACTTTTTAAGACCCCGCGGGAACCCTGCCAGTCAGAGGAGCCATTAGATACTGGGTTGTTCTTTTTAAACTTCCAGGTAACCCTCATTAGTACTTAGTTTTGTCCTATGACCGTGCACACTTACAGCTGCTGCCATCAGCAGGTCCACCTTGGAGGGCTCCGGCAGCTCCACAATGGGAGGGGGCTCAGGAGTATCCTCCTCATAGTTGCCCCAGACTTCAGCCGGGGCGTTCCAATCAGAGCTGGGGTCCACTGATCCACCATCTGAGTAACAAAGAGCATGAGAAACTGTAAGACACAATCAGATCTATAAAGTCAAATAGAGCAGTTAAAGCCCATCTTGTCCTTACTGAGTCCGGACCACTCGTCGTCCACTCTGGGCGGACTGAGGCAGGGCAGCTCCTTCACAGGCTCAGGCTCTACAGACACACAGGAAGAGCAACTACATTTCAAAACCTTACAGTATCGATTTAGTGAGAGGGTTTTGAAAGCCTCTAGAAAGGAGACTTTTTTTAATTCAGATATATAAATTGTTAACAATAGATTACCAAGATCATTTTAACTGTTGTTAATTTTAAATCACAACTCAATATTATTTGTTTATCTTTAAACTCTATGCCACACCAATTGATAGAAGACTTTAAGGAATTGATTTAAGGAATTGGGAAATCTTCCATGGGAGCGATTTATTAAGGCGGTGTTTACACGAGAACTAAACTTTTTCTCTTTCGTATAGCCCGTTCGTTCACACGAGGCCGTAACGGAAACACGGAAACGGACCCCGCAAACGATAACGGGTCCCAAGGTGGATAGATCTGCAACCGGAACGCTCTGGGGGGCCAAACGGCTCAGTGTGTACGCCCTATAGTGGCGAAGTCCCTCCCCTTCCGGTGGACCTCCATGGGACCTTATTTCGGAAAAATTATGTATTGAAGTCAATGGAGAGAGAAAGATTATCTTTCGATCCCGTTTGAATTGTGCCACGAATTACACATATGATGTTTGTCAATTTAAAAGATAATTTTGCAAGTAAAAAAAATAAAATGTGTCGTAAAACTGTGAAGTAACACATTTGTTTGTGTGAAACGCTCAATGAACTACATCTCTGGTCTCACAGAACAACACACGTCACCAAGATGGCCGTCACTACTGTCTTGTCAACAAAACGATTGACTACCCTCACTATCACCACAATGAAACACGTCCTGAAGAAAGTCATGCAAAGCTGCCTGCCTGCTTTCCTTTGATTCTCTCTGAACTGCCTGGTCGTTTTAATGTTTAATGTCAACCATTTGTGCAGATAGCATGAAGTAGAGAAGATCGCCGATGCTAACGTTAGCGTTAGCATTTCTCCCCCGAGCTTAAATGGTGTATTATAGAATGATCACACCGGTGACAGTACTCTTCAAAGGGTTCACGAAATATGGCTACTACTCTTACTGTTTAACATTTTCGGTTACTTAATGTTACTTCATGTTAAGGCTAATAAAAATGACAAGGCTGTAATGCTAACTAACGTGCTAGCTACTAGCTAGGTAGCTAACTTGATCAAGCCACTCCTGGTCGTTTCATCAGACGGGAAGCAAAAGAACGAGCAAGACCCATTGCTGGTATAATAACAACCTGGTACTAAGCACACAGGCATCTTGTTAAAGTTATCTTATCTTAGCCAGCGCCATATAGATAGATTATATCTATATTGCGCTGATCTTAGGTATCTGAATGGTGGAGGAAAACAATTGTGACATCACTTACGCGACTCTGGGATTTGTAGTCTTTCTAGTTACGTATTTTTCATAGTCTTATATTTCAACAGTTTTACGACAAACTGACTTTTTTGACATGGAAATGATTTTTTAAATTGACAAACATCATATGTGTAATTCATGGCACAATTCAAACGGGATCGAAAGATAAGTTTTCTCTCTCCATTGACTTCAATGCATAATTTTTCCGAAATAAGGTCCCATTACCCGGAAGTAAGTGGGCGTGACTTCGCCACTCTATACGATAATTTTCCTGATAAGGATGAAGCCATAGCCCCGCCTCTCCCCACCTCTGCAGCTCACTGCTGTAGCATGGTCAGTAGCTACTGCTACTGACCATGCTACAGATGTTAGTGCAAAATCTACAGCTCCTCTACCGCAACCATCAGCAACAAGTGGACATGGAGAACTAAATGAACTACATGTTGCTAAATCCACCGCGGGGCATAAACAGAAGGGCAACCATGGCAACCATGCTCGGGGGTCTTCTTCGCTGCTTTTGGTGTATTTTGTGGCAGAAGTACAGCGCCACTTACAGGCCCGGCATATGTACTACAGCGTCTCTAGTGGTCTCGTGTGAACGGACACGTTAAATGAGCCGAATGCGTGTGAACGGAATACTTTTTTGATAACGAATTCGGTCCATTTGCGCTCCCGTGTAAATGGGGTCTAAGAGGGGACACGAGGAGCATCATTTTGCTAAATGAGAAGCTACCTATGCCACCTAGAGGTGTAAACCAGATTAAACCAGTACTTGTCACATCACCACTTTGTTGTAGACTCACCAGCAGTACCAACACCCAGGCCGCTTAAAGACACCAGATTTGGGTCCGCCGGGGCCATCCCCCTGTCAATCACTGTCCAAGACTCTGAAACACACACAGATCACAGATGCTCTAAAAAAGGTAATAATCAACACAATTAACTTTGACTTAATAATCAGTGGATCACTGGGATCTGTATAACTAAGTAAATATGACAAAATCTGTTTGTCAACCTTGTTTCCATGACCACACTGTGATTCAAGGTTAAACTCTGAAAAGCATAAAATCTGTATAAAAAGGAAAATAAAACTTAAAAAAAGGCATTTTTGTCCTAAGAATAATACTAAATCAGCTGCCAAAATCACACTGCCCCACTGTGTATTCAGCAGCTACTTGGAAGATTATGATTTGCCCAGTGGTCTTTGAATTAATTAGGCAATATATCAGTATTGGGATACAAGAGTACTGCTTGTTTTAGACTTGTAATATGGTATACAGGTTGTCTTTTCCTGGTTCCAGGCTGTATTATAGGGAAGTGATGTGATTTTCTCCCACATGAACATAATATCCACGTTACTAATCATTATTTATCAATAAAATCAAGATGTAAATAATTTATAAAAAGGACAAATAGTCAAACCTACAATATGTTGCAATATCAACAGAGGCATTTGGTAAAAGATATTGTAATATTTGATTAACTTCATATCCCCAAGATCTCTAGCTGAGCAGCCTTGAGGTCAGATTTACTGTTGTGTCCAATGCCAAAAATGAACTTTAAACTTTAAGTTTATTATCTTATAATGCTATCAAATGTAGTTGCGACAGTTTTATGGATACCTGATCCATTTATTAAGGTAACTTTAGCATCAATAGCCGTCCTGCTTATCAATCAGTGAGTCTATTACTATGACACTGCAGTCAATGTAAAGGTTATGGATAGTTAATGGTTTTTGGAGTGCAATAAAGCTTTTACACACAATTAAGCTTCACCAACAGCGCAATTAAGTGTTCAAATATTTTTTTTACCATCAAGCTCCACTCTCCACACTGATGCTGGCTCTGTAGTGGTTGTCCAGGGGCGGGCCTTCGGAGAGATGGTGGGAGCAGGAACCTTCACAGCCATGTCCGTCACAGCCATGTCAGTCACAGCCATGTCAGTCACAGCCATGTCAGTCACGTCAGTCACAGCAGCCACCGCCACCGCCTCGCTGTTAACTAACACCAAGACAGAAAGTCGATACTCAGCCAGAATAAACACAGATCAGGTTGGCGACACGTCTAATATGGGAGTCCTCATTAAAGCATGTGGACTTTTTTGGTCAACTAAAGCATTTTAATAGAGAGATCAATGCTTGGTGTGTCTTTTCTCGTAATAGATGAATACTTTTCAGGTGACATTTACCTGCAGGTACAACAGCCTCAACCTTCTCTACTTTCACTTTGGCAGATTCTCCTGAAAAAAAAAAAAAAAAAAAAAGGGGTCAACATGCTGTATGCCAAGAACAACATCCATGAGAGCCTGTTAATGGAGGCAACACAGACAAACACTTCAGCTGAAGCACTTCAAGGAAAATGCATTCTGGGAGTCAATTTAATTCCCCTAAAGCCTGTATTTATAGACCATCCTTTCAACAAGAGACCAATCAGATGCAACAACAGCCTATACAGAACAAAAGACATAAACATCTCTCTCTAGGTGCCACTTTAGGCTGTTTGTCAGAGGTTTTATTTGAATTTATTCAAGAACAATATAATTAACAAACTTCTTTCCTCTTACAAATCCTAAAACTCTACCCCAAAATGAAAGATACATGGATTTCAGAGTTATGTATTTGATCAGCCACCTTTTGTCTTCTTCTGGCTGGCAGGCGGGGGAGCAGCGGAGGCCTTTGGCTGCTCTGGGGGAGCGCTCACAGGTGTGTGTCCTCCTCCAGGACTGTTGGAGCCATCACTGGAGCCCTTATCCTTCTTGCGTTGCTCACGCTTCTCCTTGTTGCTGACCTTGGTCTCCCATGTGCCTGAAAAGAACCATTGTGAACACCGTGGAATTAGTTGCAAAGTACTGAAAGTTTTCATTTTGGGATTAGTGAGAAAGTATGATATGGATTAGGCAGGATACCGGATCAGCCATATCTTGCTGGGAACGTAAGGTCACATTCTCAAGGTTCAAGGTTCTTTATTGTCAATCTGACATAGCTACAGAGTAATTATGCAGTTGAAAATCTTATGTCACAGGCTTCTCCAACAATGCAACATAATAACATAACATAATAACAATAAGAGCAAGAGCAATACAAAAATAGTAATAGTTATAAAAATGAAATAAAGTTATGATGTGGAATAGTGCAGTATGAGTCTATATACAAGTTATTTCTACAATAATAGGTTGAGTATAAAACACTTTATGTTTTGTTACAAAGGCCTTGTTCAAATTAAACAAAATAGTTAAGTAGTAAGTCATTCCCTATGTGGGGCAATGGCTTTTTAACAGAAAAATTGTGGTTTACTAGGCATCAAAATAAACAAAGAAAGACCTCCTCCAATTAATGGTATAATACCCATACATCACTTTAAATTAATTAGCATATACATCCTAATAATTCACCTTCTTCTGGTTCTTTGCCAGCTGCAGTCACAGTCTTTGTCTCCTTCACAGCCTGTTTGGCCTTCTTCTTAGACTTCTTTAACTAGAAAAGAGATCAAATAAAGACACATATGATTTCATCTCCAAGAACGGCAACTGGGCAAGTGGCCCCATGCTGACTGAACAGGGCAGTCAATCAAATCAGCACGCTCAAGCCATGTCTATTAATACTGTAGGTGAAACTACACACACTGTCCAAGAAGCCCTTAATATGTTACATGTGCTATTTGGTTAACACCATTTCCAGCTCTAGTGAATGCACAATCACATCCTTAGATTGAGCACATGTATGACCACATTACGTGTCACTTTAGGCCTTACACAGAGGATGGCATTGAAAGAAAGGCTGCCCTTTTGCTGTCCTAAGCCAGGAGATATCCACAAGGATTTTGTTGCATCTGCAGGTTAAAAACTGTAACATTACACTGGCAGCTGGTCTGGTTGCATCATTGCAGGGCGACAGGGGTTTTCTTAACTGATTTACAGAGATGAGTAACCGAGAAATAATGATGTGCTAACATTTATATAAACAAAACCTTGGTGCACCATCACACTAAACGGATCAATATGTTCAAGTCACATCAATATAATGAGGAGTGTGTGGCCATTCATCTTTGTTATAGCAAATTACCTCTGCAGCCTTCTCAGCCTTGGATTCTGGTGGGGGCGTCTGGTGATGTGGCACTATCTCTTCAGATTCTATGGCTTCTTCCTGTGGTTCAGCAACAGCTCTCCCATTAGGCTGGGATTTCTGGAATAAAGAAACATTAAGAGGGCCATGAAAATGTCAGCTATATTCTATTCACAAAACCCATATGTAACAACTCCCAAGGCTAGCATATACTGGACGGACATTAGCCTGAAGCTAGCTAGGGTTTTGACATGAGTTTCAACTGTCACTGAGGCTAACGATACGGCTATCTAGCTAGGTCAGGGTGTAGACTGATTTAATTTATGCTACGTGCCTTTTCTGTCTTCTTCTTTTTCTTCGGTTCCTCGGATTTGACAGGTTTACTCTCATCGCGTTTCAATTCAAACCCGTCGTCCAGAGGGCTTACATCGGGTCGTTTCTTGAAGAGAGACCGGCAGGTTGAGGCCCACAGAGCGACCAGCAGCAGTAGCCCGCTACATGCCGCTAAGAGGATCACCCATGGCGGAATCAACTCAGGCTTCAGCCCCAAATCCACGCCGAGCTCGGATCGCAGCAGTCCCAGACCTTTGGACAACAGTTCATTCAGACGAGTTGTAAGCAGCTTGACCTGCTGAGAGGCCTCGTCCTGCCACTGCTCCATTTGTATTGTGTTTCAAACAAACCGATTAGTCACGCTTTACTCGCCGCTATTAGCTAAGCTAGCCTGCAGTGCTAGCTAAAAATAACAGAACGACTTCGACATAATGAAAGACAAAACATGAATCCCTTACTCCACTAGCAACATCGGCCCAAAGCCATACAACCTGCTAGCTGCAAGCTAAATCGCTTTACGGCTGTGGTGACACAATAAGTTAGCTAACTAACCCGCTAGCTGATAACATCATAAGATAATATGCTCCGTTCGCTGACCACCACTATGTGACCGTGAGGATTCACCTCATATGGCTCCGTTTTGACTGGAGGAGAAACGGTGCCTTCACTGTCGCTGGTAATTTGGAAGTTCCAGGTTGTAAATAGCAACCACCAATTCTAGCATTTCTTCCGAAACGATCATTCAAGTAAAAATAATGTTTTTGTGTGAAATATATTTAAGACAAGATTGTTAGTATGCGTTTTTCAAACACAAAAAGATTACACCAACTATTTATAATCGTTTTATTTTTATTTGACCACCACTGGTCATATTTACTTTCAGTTTTAATATACCACCATAGTTTAGCGGCCATTAACAGCACAGCCCAATATATTTCGGGTGTTATACTTATATATCCCAACCTAATTAACTAGATACATAAAATTCCGTTTCTTACAAAATCTCTTGAAGGCAACACAAAGAGGATGTGACAGCTCCACTTAAATGGGCGGGGCTAAGACTTCTCCCATCATGATTGGCCTAAACTATGGGTCAAACTCACATTACAAAAAACATAAAATGCTGTGCCAAACTGTATTACAATCATTCTGTATATCTACTACTGGCATTTTCATCCACACAAAACTTATTTATTAAAACCTTACTTTGTAATATGTGTCTCTTATATTGCGTTTCATTTATCACAATGCAGATACCCCAAAACGTGATGAAAAACAGCAGACAAACATGATAATCAAAATACTATTTATACTACTATAGCGGTTACCCAATGGCCTATGGGGTAAAGAAAGATGTGATAGCTCTATCTGGTATGTAGCAGGTCTAAAATGTGTCACAGATGAGCAGCTTCCACTCACAATAATGTAAGATGGTGATGCTACCACTATTAAAGCACTTATAAAAAAAAAAATACAAATCGGACAACTTCTTTGCATCCAAGTTTATTTTTGAAATTCCCTACTCCCCCTGTACAAGAAAAAAAAAGGACTTTCCACAAAGGCAGCAGTGAACTGTCAGTGATAGTACTTTTCTAGGGAAGGAAAAAAAACGTATAATCACAGTGTGTCTTCTTTTAAATACTTCTACTGCTGTCATCTTTGGCTGGGTTTCGGCAGACAGCTTTCTGTCAAACCACATTCCTGGGAAGCAAAAGTTTAAGCCAATAGATCAGGGCTGTGGGCTTTAAGTTTTACAGTGCCAATGCAGGAATGTTCTGGACTGTATACCTCTTCTTCATTAAACACAAAGAAAAAAAAAAAACAATAAAAATTGAAATAAAAATAACAAGCCGTTTTGTGTTCACAACACAAACGAATATTACCGCCTGGGGAGATAGCGACAGTATGTCGATTTTTCATAAAATTGTATAGACAAAAAATAAATCTACAAAAATGGAGCTAGGTAAATATTACACAACAGTAAACAGGTTTTTTTTTTTTCGGTTTTTTTTTTTAAACTCTTCTCTGTTGAACCTCTACACAAAACCAAAGTTCTTGGTCTTAACGGCTAGCAGGAGTTTCTGTTTGAGTATCTGTTTAGAAGAATAGAGTGGCACGTAGAGACGTGAGATGCAGGTGTTGGCTGTCGGGAGGTGCAGGTCGTCTGGAGGCCGGATGGTGATGGAGGGCATCGGCTGGAAGCCCTCCTCACTGGCCGGCAGAGACGGGCTGGAGGTCCAGAAGTACACCTGGGGAAGAGGGAGAAACACATTCACATGTCACATTCAAAGCTTTTGTAATGTTCTACCGTTTGTGTACTCGGACAGGTGAAAAGCAAGACAGCCTTTGAACAACATTATAATATTGAAAAACATCAAAAATCTTTGGTGTTCACTATTGCTCGTTAAGAATCTCTGATAATTAAAAATAAAAAACAAATGTCCCGCCACGAAGTGTTGTCTTTGAAACCAAACAGAATCCCACACAATGCACAATCCCAGGCTCCATCACAAGCACACCACTACCTATTTAAAAAGGGAATTATCTCCCTTCTTCTTTAGCATTTAAACAATATATATACGATGTTTAGGATACTGACGGAAAATAAGAGAAACACAAAACAAGCAGAGGAAGGAGAGCATTTAAACAAGAACTGACATTTCACTGACCAACTGCTCCTTAGTTGGTCTTTATTTTACCAATTTTATGCACGGCAAAAATAGTTGCAGTCAATATGAACTGTAGTGTGGGTCATGTGTGAAGCCATTGTGCAATAACATGTCAGTCCAAGATTTACCACAGCATTTGGGAGCTAATGGAGCTTGCCCGTTGAAATTCAATCTTAATGTCAATCTGTGTAAAAAAAGAACAGTTTTTGAAAATGCTAAGCACTGAACTGCTGACAGCCCCGGCGAGTCTCTTTGTTTTGAAGGACAAGTATCATGATTGGAAGAGACTTACCAGATCTTGCCTCTCAGTCATGCTCATCTTCTCCACTATGGACCAAAACCAGCGTTTAAACTGCAGCAGTTTGTCTGCATTTTCCCCTGTTGGATGAAGTAAAACACTTTGCTTACTTTGTCACAGCAGAAATAGACAACCATAAATATATTTTCTTTTCTGAATGAATGCAAGGAACAGAGATAAGATCGAGGTGTAAACAGAGCAGAGGAGATCCAGACAGAGCAGCATACCAGACTCATCATTGAAGGAGGTGAAGCTAATGAGCATCTGGACGTTGACTTCTCCACAGCCGTTGACCAGCAGCCTGAAGTCCTCAGCTGTCAGGTCCTCCAGGGCGTTCTTAGGAAGCACATCCAGCAAACCCTTCCTCATCGCCTACCAAAAACAGACACATAATTACAGGTGTGTATATGCATTTTGGTGCAAAAACATTTGTTCCAATAAACTGAGAATTTGAGAACATTGTTGTATTCAAAGCCAAATAAGTGTTGTACTTACATGGAGAGGCTGCTCAGCCACCACCAGCATTCTGTGCTCAGCATACTTCCTCACGTACTCGTACACGTTGAGAGGAGTTACCGGCATGTTGACCCCGCCAGACAAAAGCTCCACCTGAACCAGGAGTAATGAGGCATTCATAAAAACCTTACGCCACAAACATATTTCACTATTTATATTATGCTTTTAAAAGATTAACTGCAAGCTCTACATTCATCAAATCAGTGTCCTGTGATGCAAATAATGCATAGCTGAAAGGTGGACTTTCTTCACAGATTTAATTCATTTGTTGGTACAATCTACAATTGGGGACATAATGACAGTGTAGTCCTTTACCTGTCCTGCCCCTTCCTCTTTGCAGAGGTCGATGGCGAAGGCGAGGTCCATGGCAGCAAACACCGCCTCTGCTTCTCCAGCCTGAGAGTGGCGGATGAGCTGCCGCAGGCTCTCATACATGACCGGGTCAAAGAATGCAAAGTCATGCCAGTTCACCTACAAAAAGAAGTGATTTTAGCAATTTCATTCTGAAAAGCTCCAACATCATGTAGTAGCTTAGTTATAAAACACATATTCTCTTACCTTCCTCCCAAGCAGCACTTTGATGACATGTCTGTTCAATGTGATTGGACAGAGTTCATTCTGAAGCAGACATAAGCCCAGTATTCTGTGGAGAAAATACAATGCGTTTAATAGGTTTCCCTATTTCTATAAAGACTCTTACTTCCCAACATAGTTCTCTTATTTTCTCTGATTTTGATCAAACTGGAACAAATATAATTCCTTTCAAGTGTGACAACAAATGTGGACATTTCCTTACCTTCCAATGTTGCGGAAGCAGTTCAGCCTGGCCTCTGTGTTCTTGCCAGGCCTGGGGGAGTAGAAGCCTCTCTTGCCGGGCTGGTAGAAGAGAGGAGCGTTGTCGTCCCCATCGTCCGGGTCGTCCAGCTCCATGTCCACCACACTGCGGGTCGAACCATGGCGCTTACGGTTCTCCTGCTGCTGCTGCTGTTGCTGCTGCTGTTGTTGCTGCTGCTGTTGTTGCTGCTGCTGCTGCTGCTGTTGCTGTTGCTGCTGTTGCTGCTGTTGTTGCTGCTGCTGCTACCACACAGAACGGAGGGTGATGTTTAAAAGCTATGTATGATACAGTTGCTTTAATGTCGCTTTATTTCCACGAGTTAGGATGCAAAAACAACCCCCATTATAACAAACGAGAGTGGAAAGTTGTGTTTACTTGTGCTTTCTCTGGAGCTTCCAATAGACCAAGGTCCAATATACTGTCGGCACCATTTTCCCTAAAAGAGATAGAATTATGGTTAGTTTATAAAACTTAGTGATACAATTCTGTGACAACTTTATTCTGATTTAATTCACAGTCCACCCAAACTGTCACACACAATGAGAGCAGGATGCTATGGTGAACAGATGGTTACCTTCCATGTGCGATGAGAAGCTCCATGGCCTCCTCCACCCTGGCTCGGAGAGAGTCCTCACTGGCCAGCAGCAGCAGCAGCTGGGCAGGGGACAGCTCCAGCAGCATGCCTGTGATCTTACTGGCAAACGCCTGAGGGGACAACACACACAGCGGCTCTCAGTATGCTGGACAGATTCAGATTGGTAGTCATACATATAAATGTTTAGAGTAGGCAAGGTATGTTTCACTTGAGGCTTGATGACGGCAAGTAAAAGTAACATCTATGGATTTCTTCATGTTGCAGTTTATACGTGGAAGGCCAATTTCATGCAAATCTCACTGTAGTCCAAATCTGTTTTCAGATTTATGGCTGTCGCAAATGTACGTTTTTTAAATTAGAGCAAGCTTCTAGCTTCTTTTCAGTATTAGTATTGAATGTCATATATCTTATGACGTTATCTCCCACTCTAAATGAAGCGCTAAGTGAATGCAGATACATCAACTAATCCTCCTCTTGTTTCAAATCTTCGGTATTTACTACAAATATGTTACAGTTAAAATTATATCTTTTTTGTTGTGGATAAACTGCCCTGTGTGCGGAAACAGTTGTGTTGTTTTTGCAAGGCTCACACCAACAAATATGGATGGAAGCAGAATATTTATTTTGATAAAGACATGTTGTTAACTTTGGAAATTACATCTGTCTTTGTTCAGTACTGTTTGGCTTTAAAATGTTGTGGAGCTGCCACCCCTGGAATCCATTTCTAC